AATTACATATATTGCCATTGTTCATTTAATTGTAACTTAAAATGATATATTATATGCTTCCTAATTCGCCGGATCTCCTCTTAAGCATTTTTATCTCATACCGGTTTAGTTATTAGAGTCACGAAACCTGTTTAGTATATTCTCAAAAAATTATGATTTATCGTAGACCAATTTTCAGTATATACAAACATTATTTTCTCAGCTCGAGGAGCTCTCCAACCCCTTTTTCACTATATGATAAATTTTACACAGAATCGTATTAGCATAATATGGTGGCCATTTGTTGATTAAACATAACCAATATTGATTATAATAAGTTAACCATTAGTATCTCGGCAAGAGTTGATCTCTCTGTATTCTATCGGCATTTTACATAAGATCATGACAACAATAATAGCATGCATACAGACCACTATAATGTCTTCTACGAAACTATCATGTATACAAACTACTAAAATCAAAATGGCATTATATAATTATCATCGGTTTATCATATTCCTAGAAGAAATATAAGAATCCATGGACCAATTTTGAAAATAATGATACAAACATTAATCTTTTCAGCATGAGAAGCTCTTCAACTCCTTTTCGACTATATGATTATTTTTACATACAATTGTGTTAGCATAATATAGTGGCCATTTTTAGAATAATAGTACAAACATTACTTTCTCAGAACGAGCAATTCAGTTTAACAAACTGAATTTGATTTTAGCAAACCAAATTTAATTGAGTTCGTCAATGTATAAAGAGTATGAGATTCTATGCGCAGCATTTAAGAGTGGATATTTCCTTATTATTGATTGTATATATATATTCATTTTGGTAGGTGTAAAATTGCTATGACAAATATTGTTTCCTAAATTATATAGTTTTAAATTCTAATGCATTTTTTTAGCAAGACAATTCATTTAATATGGCGATTACAACTATTCTTTCCTTAGTTTTGGNTCATTTTGGTAGGTGTAAAATTGCTATGACAAATATTGTTTCCTAAATTATATAGTTTTAAATTCTAATGCATTTTTTTAGCAAGACAATTCATTTAATATGGCGATTACAACTATTCTTTCCTTAGTTTTGGTCAAACCCATAAATTTTGTATAGCTAATGGATTTACAATTGCAATCATTAATGTACGTTTTTTTTTGCAATCATTAATGTACAATTTTATATATTCTTTAAGCGTTAATATAATGAACACTTAAATTTATAATTTTAATCAAATATATATATTGTATATTTAAGCACCCAAACATGTAAGACACATTAATATATATAGTGTTAATATAATGACCATTCAAATCCCCTATATATTAATCTTGGAGCATTGGAACATTTAAGTGTAGTCATGTGTTAGGACCACTTTTAGAATCTTTAGAAATATATGTTAGCCCATCTAAGTATAAAATATATTTTATATTAAATTAACTATCAAAATGATTTATAGTGAATAAAAAATATTCTTCATTATTTTCTTAAGTAAAACCTACGGAATTACCTAATATGATTAATATATATATAAAAAATAATTATTTTAAATAATAAAGATTTGATAATAGTTTTTGTATCCTCCATCATTTTTGTTTAATTTATATTATTAAAAAAATAAACAATCACATTAACCATATAATAAAAAATTATATTTTTTTCTTATATGTTATATTTAAAAAAACGGCTATAAATTACAAAATTTATTAGAAGTCTTAAAATGAAAATTTTGTGAACAATTGTTTTATTATTTTTGTTATAACAATATAGAAATCTTACATAATCTTATAACATTACAACATGTTTTCGTAACCACGTGTCATCATCGGGATAATTCTCAAAAATATGTAATTTTTAATATGTTATTTGATCCTGACAATCCGCGAATTACACTTCTTCAAATCAAAGTGATTTTTAATACTGAAAGCACTATATATATATATATATTATTTCATTCGAATTAAATAATTTAGTCTTGATATTTATTTTTAATAACTTTTAATGAAATAGCATGACAAGTCCGATCACCTCCTTTTGAGTTTGTTCGAATAATGAGAGATTTGATCATTCGTCTAATATTTATTTCTCCATAATACCCAATGTAGCTATTATAGTTTATCCAAATAAGACTTATGATCTTAGTACTTTGGGATTTGGTTATAATCTGCACCAAACCAAAATCCGAACTCGATCCGAAGATATCTGAAATTAATATAATATTTTAATATACTTTTATATATCAAGGTAATTTATATATTTTATTGTATTCGAAAGATATTTGTAGTTTATTTTATTTTTTATTTGAATATCATTTAGTTAGTTTAGATAGTTTAAGTAATTTTAAATTAGATTTACGAATAATTTAAATGTTTTAACAATTTTTTGTCCATTTTGAGGTTTCAAAAATATTTTTTGGGACGATTTCAGATTTTGGTTAAATCCGGAAGGAACCGAACCGAAACCGATATGTAATCGATCTGATAATTAGTAAAACCTAAATAAATCTGAAAAGCATAATACCAAAAATTTGAAATTCGAATCAATAGAACCAAAACCGATGAATCCTCGGCTCAAGATATATTTAAGCGATTAACATTTGTATTCATTATTTTAAAATCGATAAAGATTATAGTGTTACAAAATGTTAAAACCGAACAAACATTCATATAAAAAATTCACTCCGCGCATGCGCGCGGGTATCACCTAGTTTTTATTATTTTATCGATTTATGTCAAATTTTGAACTGATTAGACTCTTAGTTGAGACCAACAAAATTTATTAATTTATATAAATTATTAATTTATCGAGTATTAATCTAACATAGAAACCCATAAAGAAAACAACAATTACCAACCCTAAAGTCAGATCAAATAGAGGTTGACTTGACCCATAGACCTAAACACTAAACCGATAAAAACCGGAATCTAAACCGGACAATCTGATCACCTTTCTTTTATAATCAAACCATAAATAACAAAGGACACCCACAAAATGCCAATCTCTCTTCTCTATCCTCTCATCTCTGCGCGCATGATCGCATTAGTGTTCCACTATACATCCCCCCGTGACTCTGGTCTCTGACTGTAATCCATCTCTCTCCATTTTAAAAAAAAATTAATTTCCGTTTTTATCAGTTTCATTTAATTCATTTCCATATATATATATACACACATCATTCTCTAATGGCATATTCGAACCTACTCCATTATAAACCTCCCAACCCGCTACTTCTGTCTCTTAATCATCACCATGTCTTCAACTCTCATCCTTCTCTTCTCTCTCTCCCTCTTAACCTCTCCCTCTTCCTCCTTCCGTCACCACCATCACCACCACCACCACTCTCCTCCGCTCAACCCATCCTCCTCCACCGCCTCTCAGATCCGTCTCGCCTGCAACGCAACTCGTTACCCAGACCAATGCCTCTCTTCCCTCTCCCAACCAGGTCTTGTCCCTCCTGATCCCAACCCAACCCAGATCATCCACTCAGCGATCTCCCTCTCTTACCAAACCCTCGTAACAGCTCAGTCCAAAGTGAAGTCCATCCTAGACTCCTCCGTAGGGAATCTAAACCGCACAAACGCAGCCAACACGTGCCTCCAGATACTCTCCTACTCCAAACACCGCACCTTATCGACGGATCACGCCCTGACACGTGGTAAAATCAAAGACGCGCGCGCTTGGATGAGCGCTGCTCTCGTCTACCAATACGACTCGTGGTCATCTCTCAAATACGTCAACGACACGGCGCAAGTCGGTGAAACGATGTCGTTTCTAGACGGACTCATCCACGTCACGAGTAACGCGCTTAGCATGATGGTATCGTACGATAACTTCGGGGACGAGTTAGCGTCGTGGACTCCACCAGCGACGGAGCGTGACGGGTTTTGGGAGAAGATTGGGCCGGGTATGGGCTCGGATCCGGGTGCTTTGGGTTTCCCTTCCGGTTTGAAAGAAGACGTTACGGTCTGTAAAACCGGAGAGTGCGGTTACAAGACCGTGCAGGACGCCGTTAACGCGGCGCCTGAAAATAACGGAGTGGGGAAGTTTGTTATAAAGATTAGTGAAGGAGTGTATGAGGAGACCGTTAGGGTTCCGTTTGAGAAGAAGAACGTCGTCTTCGTAGGAGACGGTATGGGCAAAACGGTCATTACTGGATCATTGAACGTTGGGATGCCTGGGATGACAACGTACAACTCTGCAACTGTCGGTGAGTTATTATTATTATGAAGTAAACGTCTTTTTAATGTTAAAGCAACGTAAATAATGTTTTATCTATTTATTAAGCGTTGAAAGTTCTTATTCATTTATTTTTTTGTCATGGATAAATTATTATCTGGAGTTTGCACTGGACACGTGAAGTTATATATATTTTTAGTGGTTGACAACAAATTTTTTTTTTTGTGTTAGTTATTGAATAAATGAATACTAATATCCATTAATCTATACTCCTTCCATTTCATATTAAGTGTCGTTTAAAAAAAAAAATTTTGTTATAAATTAAGTGTCGTTTTCGGTTTTCAATGAAAAATTTATTAATTCTATTCTATAGTTTATTTTTCTATTGGTTGAAATAAGTTAGGTGTATAGATAATTGTGTTTTATATAAAAATATGCAAAATTTATTATTTTTTAAAATCTGTGTGCCGAAGTCTAAAACGACACTTATTATGAAATAGAGAGGTATATTAGGAAACTTCTTAACTTAGTATTGTAAAAAGAAAAAAAAATATTGTATAGTTATCCTAAAATGTTGTTGAAAATAGTTTTGAAATTGTCAAGTAGATATTAGTTTTTCACCCAAAAAAGTAGATATTAATTAGTTCACTGATAAAATATTTTCTTTTATTTTTTCTTGTCTGAATTGATTTTTTCATTTATTTAACTGTTACATGTTTGGTTTGATAGGAGTGATAGGAGATGGATTCATGGCTCGTGATATAACATTCCAAAACACGGCGGGACCAGACGCACACCAAGCGGTTGCGTTTAGATCCGACAGCGACTTTTCTCTGCTCGAGAACTGTGAGTTTCTTGGAAACCAAGACACACTCTACGCACATGGACTTCGTCAATTCTACAAAAGTTGCCGTATCCAAGGGAACGTTGACTTTATCTTTGGAAACTCAGCTTCAGTCTTCCAAGACTGTGAGATTCTCATCTCACCGCGTCAACTTAACCCCGAGAAGGGTGAGAAAAACGCTGTCACTGCTCACGGAAGAATTGACCCGTCGCAGTCAACGGGGTTCGTGTTCTTGAATTGTTTGATAAACGGAACGGAGGAGTATATGAAGTTGTATAAAGCTAACCCTAAGGTGCATAAGAATTTTTTGGGGAGGCCGTGGAAAGATTATTCGAGGACTGTTTTTATTGGTTGTAATATGGAGGCTTTGGTAACTCCTGATGGTTGGTTACCGTGGAGTGGAGATTTTGCTCTTCAGACGTTGTATTATGGAGAGTCTAAGAACACGGGTTTGGGATCAGATAGGTCACAGAGGGTTTCGTGGAGCAGTGAGATACCAGAGGAGCATGTGAATGTGTACTCGGTTGCTAACTTTATTCAAGCTGATGAGTGGGCTGTGATGTCTAGTTGAATCAAGTCATGACTAAAAAATGGTTAAGGAAAAGCTTTGTAAGAAATTAACCATTGTACTTTAGTTGAGAAAATTTATAAGACGAACCAAAAATATAGAAAAATTGCATTCATGTTACTTTATAATTTATATCAATTGAAAGTTCAGAACATTTAAACCGAATTTTATAGGTTATGCCTTTGTGTGGCTTATACTCGTTAATGAGAATTGATGAAAGTCTCTAGTTGTGAGCTGGGAAGCGTCTGATGCCTTTTGCTTGACGTTAGAGCAGAGGTTGTTGCTGCAAGCAAACGATATTCTCAAAAGTTTTCAACGAAGTAGACATCATCATCACCTTCACTATGCTTTTGAGAGTTCAATGTAAATATCAGGAGGGCTCAGCTCTTTAGTATTCATTTTAAGTGGTTCACCTAAAGACATTCAAGTCGGTAAGGGACCCATGCAATAGGCACATAATTCTACTGTTTTGGTAGGTCATAGGGCCACACACTCAAAAAAATGAGTGGTCAAAAACTCAAACCTGATCTTTTAGAAGCAAGAGAAAAGATAAACTTTTTTAGAACTTCAGATTAGGCACAAAAAAAAGCCCCACGAGACTTGTTGATGCATTCAAGACTCCATTTTTAATGTTCAGAACCAACAACAAAGTAACTTTTATTACCTCTGTAAAAACATATTATGGCAATTAATGGATGATGCAGAGACTACACTGTTTTGAGATAAAAACAAGATCTGCTAGAAGGAGATCTCTTTTGCCACATTATAGCTCTGAATCAGAGATTTTCTCCTCCTTAGGTGGAGCAACCTGCTTCATGAGACGAGATTTATCCCATGGGTCCAAAGGCACTCGTTGTGGTGGTTGAGGTGTTGCTGGATTCGATTGCCTAAGCTCGTTCTCTCTGTCAATAAACCTGCCCACAGTATATGACCCACTTACTTCACCAGTCATCTTATTATCATGTTTATGATATAACAGAGGTAAAAATAAAGAAAAAAACTAGTTATACTCGATATAGGCCATAGGAGCAGCATCACCAACTCGAATGCGAGTACGTAGCAATCTTGTGTACCCACCATCTCTATCTCTGTAATAACAGAATGGTATTTATCCCAATGAAGCTCTTAGGCAATAACAGTAAAAAATGGGCACAAGAGTTAAAGAAAATTCACTTGTAACGGTATGCCAATTCTGTAAAAATCTTATGAAGGACATCATCTCCTCTTACAAAACCAGCTGCTCTCCTTGCCGAATCCAGTGAGCCCTGATCAAGTTTTTGTCAGAAAGATGTAGTTAGCAGCAGCAATACAAACTCTAAAACACTTAAAGGGAAGTGAGAGTAACTTCATAACAAAATCTACATCTTCTGAAGAGTGTATAACACCCCCAAGTTACATTTTCATTCAAGCAGATGCTTTTCAATGGATATAGTTAACATAATTAAACAAAATGTCATAAAAGAATATATCAGCCAACATACCTCTTTACCTAGTTGAATCATATTATCAGCAAGACGACGCACCTCTTTAGCCTACAAAACACAAAACGTCTCTTTAAACAGATTATAATGTGATCACTAAAGACAAGTTTCACAGTGAATAAAAAAAAAAGAAGCAGATTCAACAAACCAAAACAACCTGATGAAATTTTAAACCCTAATCAAAACCCTAGAATCCTGGAAGTTTTATGGAAGAAGAGAATGAATACCTTAGTGACGGTGGTCTCTATACGCTCGTGCTTAACTAACTGAGACACCAGAGTCCTGATATTACAAGAGTGAAATACCAAACACTTCAAAATCAGACGAGCAAAATTTTCTACTAAAATAAGAAAGAGTAGGAAGGGAGGAGAGATTGATACCTGAGCATGGAGATACGGTGACCTGCATGCCTGCCTAGCTTCCTGAAGTTGGTCATTTCTGCGTCGGAGAAGTGATCGGAGTGAAGAGAACCCTAAGGAGGAGATTATAGACGGTAAAATGCGTATCTGTGTTACTTAGTATTGGGCTGATATTTGGGCCCGATGGTATTACTCATTTGTTTTATATTTTGGGCCCATTAATCTCATAACCAATAACTTTCAATTAATATTTTATATTTGGTTTAAATCATCCAAATAGTAATTTTTGCTTCAATTGTTAGTCTTGTTAATCAATATTATGATAAATCCATGGAGAGGAAGTATTGAAGCATAAATCTTATTTGGAAAAGCTCTCCAGTACCATTGAAAGAGTTGAATTCATCTGAAATCACACAAAAATTCTACCCAGAAAAAAGAAACTAATCTATTACCAATTTTCTAATCAATAACACGTACATAAATGGATCATTCTACATCCATTGTACATTAATCATGAACTTTAATTTTTATATATTCATATTGTTCATGATTTAAGATTATACTTTATGCATAATAAGGCGAATCCGAGCTTAAATTCTACTAGTCACATGGATATGAGTTATTGTTTTATGATCCATTTGAATGCTCAGGAGAGGGTCTATCCGTGGGTTGTACCTCTATCCGGGATCAGTCTGTGTATTTAATAAATCCGGATTTAATCCTTTCTTTTTCAAAAACAAAAAATTATACTTTATGATGAATATTACATCATGATTCCGATGTTTCATTCGTTCTTCTGGCATAACTACTGTTGCTGCCTTCTATTTTCAGCTTCCTTCTATTCTTGTAACATCTTGTCGGCAGCATTGGCCATTCCATATATATATGTATGCCCCGAAAGAGGCTATACAACTTACTAGGTGTACATGATTTAATAAAAGCATACGGGGTTTACGTAGATTACATTCAAGAAAATGTCCAAGATAGGTAAATAGTGCATGATACTTTTTGTAGCAAAAAATTAGGACTGGTATGTTCGGTGTCTTTGTGGTACGACTGTTGTATTACCGTCAAGTCATGTTTTAACTCGAACTTAATCTAGGCAAAATGTCAATTATGAAGATAATATAGTATTTATGCAAATGCGTTAGCTAGCGTAAAGCAAATGAATATATGATTTTGACATAATATGAAGTGAAAAGGCGTTGCCTTCACCCATCACTAATCATTTTTCTATGTTATTTTCTTCTCTCTTTGTCCCCCTCTTTCTTTTTTCATCTCGTAGCGGATGCTTTATATCAGATTTACTAGATTTTTGATATGCGTTTAAAAATCGCGGATATCAATTTTATTGTTTTATCTACAAATAGATCGATAAATCTTTTGTTTTGATTATATAAAATATCACTATCTAATTTAACTTTTTAAAATTAATACAAATTTTAATTTATTGTTATCATCAGTATCTAAGTAAATGAATTATATGTAATTATGTAGTTTTATTTTGAGAAAATAATATCAACTAACTACGTCTGGTGCTGGGAAGCGAGTCAAACTCGGCCCGTCCAACCCGTCTGATCCGCAAAGAAAATATATTTTATCCGCATCTGTTCCACTTAATTTTACGCGTAATCCAGAGGACCCGTAAACTTATTTAATAATAAAATAATTATTTTCTATTTTTTTCTAAAAGATAATATTAAATAGAATATTTTAATTAAATTTTTAATATTTTTTAAAAAAAAAATATTTTAAAGGAAATTTAGTATATTTTTGAAAAATAAACTGAAAAAGAAAATTCTAATTTTTCGGATTATCGGGTACCCGCCATTGAAATTAGAACAATCTATATATGTAAAGCATAAAATACACTTGACCCGCACCTGCACACGCAACTTATTTTTTTCAAATCGATCGGTCAAACAAGGTGGGCCTTGCGGCTAATATCAAAATTCCGAGCTCTAACTACATCTATTAAGGCTGTTGAGTTTATTTTTGGAAAAAAAAACTTCAGAAATAATTAGAAAGTGAATTTGACCCATTAATAAAACTCATTAGTATATAATTTTAGGTTAGGAAAAGAGACTAAATTGCCACTAATAAAAAATTAATTTTGTGCATAAAAATAAAGATATAATTGGAAAACATAAAAAAAATCATTATACAGAATGTTTCTGCTTTAATTATGTTAATGATATTGATTAGTCATTAACTGAAATAAAGACAAAATAAATGAAAAATCTAACATTTGTTCTTTCAAATAAAATTACGAGTCTCAGAAATACTCCCTCCGTTTAATAATAAGTGTCGTTGTAAAGAGAAATTTTCGTTACAAAATTAGTGTCATTTTCGGTTTTCAATGCAAAATTTATAAACTTTATTCTATAATTTTTTTTTTGTTAAAATATGGTTAGGTGTATATGTAATTGTGTTTTTATATAGAAAATATACAAAATTAATTATTTTCTTAATTAGTGTGTCAAAATCTAAAATGACACTTATTATAAAACTGAGGGAGTATGTCACACTTGCTCGTGAACCTAATTAAAGACAGCTGTAAAGAAGTCTTCCTCTATTCCTTTTCTTAAGAAAAAAAAACTAGTTATAAATTAGAGAAATTGCATTCAATGACTCAACAAAAACCCAAAATTAATAATCTAACCAAAATTCTATTCTCTTTCTTCTTACATTTTCCTATCTCTCTCTATCTTCTTTCTAAAAAAAACTAATTTTGATTCTTTTTTTTTTATTTCACAAATAACCCTTATAAATTAAGGGATCTTCTTCATCCCTTTTTTTCTGTAAAAGGTATCTTTTTCATCTTCAAATACTACTTATCTTCCCACCTTTAGAATTCAACATTTTTTTGAATGAATGTTACTTATAGAATTCAACCAAAAAAACATTTTTACAAAGAATGTGACATATAGTTCAGATAGTGTTTGAATTATTCAGAATTGATATCCTTGTCTTGAAACCTTCCAGGCTTCTCTCATCCAGTGGCAAACCAAATCCACATTGGTAATACGTGTAAACGCCTTCATAAATATTAGTTCTACATCAACTATCCTATTGCATCATCCCTACTAACCCTAATCGACTGTTTAGATTAGTAAATTCGTGACGATTGATGGTTTTAGGTTGTGTAGGGTCCTATACAAAAAAAAACACACGAATACAACCACGAGTAAATAAGGAACATACGAATAGAACCATAACTCAACATCTTTCAATCACATTCTCCATCTCTCTTGGTGTGCCCATATTCCTTGCTGTCAACAATTCACAACCTCCTTTTTTTTCATTCCATCACCCATCATCAGCAAAAAAAAAAAACTCTTTTAAATATTAAATATGATTGAAAACCCTTCAAACAAAAATCTTTTACCACTCTCTCTCGCTCTCATTTTCTCTCGTAGGCCTCAATTTTTACTCCATCAAATGTCTTCTCAAAACCACAAATCAAGAACCAACCAACTCACGAAAACAATCCTTATCCTCTGTATTCTTCTTGTCCTTTTGATCAGTTGTTGCGATGGAGCAAGAACCCCGAACATGATCAAAACGAGCTTACCGCCGAAACAAACTAACGAAGTCTCACCACCTCCTCATCATCACGGTCGTCAAGTACAAGATCACAAAAGTGTACAGTTCTTGGGGTCCATGCCACGTCAGTTTCCGGTTCCAGCTTCTGGTCCTTCAAGAAAACATAACGACATCGGTTTAGCTACTACTACTACGACTCGATCTTCTCCTTGAGGCTCAAAAGATTTAAGTTACCAGTGTCCCTTTTTATTTCTAGGTTTTGTGGTTTAAGATTGGTTTAAACGGATGTAAATAGGATTTTTAGTTCGATTTATTTCTGGGAAATGATATGGATAGACCAGCTTTTATTTTCAAATTCTAGTATTGGAACTTGTTAGATCCATTGAGATAGTGCATGTACGTAACTGATAAGAGGAGACATAAGGGTCTTTTTGTAGTACAACAATCATTGTTCTTTTTAATTTTCTGATAAGGAATGTTCCGTCCATATTTAATATTCTCATTACTATGTTTTAATCGTTGATTAATCCAGATCGATGATGATACTGCATCAAAACAATAGTAGTTATAATTGTTATGATATGTAAGTCACAATCAATACAGGCTAGCTACGTACGTACAATCACTGACTCGTTTGGTATACTATTACATATGAATATGATTCCTAAACTGTATAAGTCCAATCTTAATCACACGTTTTAGTTATAACATATATTCTGAATGATAATCATAATGTGTGTTCGTGCGTGAAATAATGGCCACTTGCTAAAAGTATTCGTTACAGCTAAAGCGTGTGGTTAAGACTGGATTTTTTCATATAATTGATTATTTTGGATCTGTTCTTTTGTTACGTTGTAGTGAATAATGTCATTGAGTAGTCTCGAATGCGATGTAGGAACGAATTTGATGTGATATCTCCTAAGAATTCAAGATGTTCGTTGAACGTTTTTTTGGGGTTATTAGTTTATAGAGAACCATCATCATGGGGCTGGCGAATTTTTCTGCATAGTTTTAAAACCAATCAATTATATTCACTCTCATTCAAACTTTGAATAACTTTATTGGACGTCCATGTGATGATATATACTTATAATGAAAAATAGGGTCCCTTGACTCGAACATAGTTTCTTGTCTTGATTACGACTTTAGTTTAGGTCATTAATTAAAATTTAATTAGGCATGAAATATAGATTAGCTAACATGGGTTCTTGTTTTTTTTACATCCCTGTTCGTGCAAGTGTATATATCATAGTACTTTATACTACTGGTACATGGTATATATTTATTATTTTGTATTGGTCGTTTTATTGTAATGGTTTGGTGGTCTGCAATCCTGTATTAGTCAAAGCATCCATGTGGGAATGAATAAATTAACAAGGAAAATTGGCGTAATCGATGTGACAAATGCTAGTGTATATTACGATGGATCATGGATATGCGACATGTGATGTGTTCATGCATTCGTGTGTACTCATGTCCACGTGCATGTACACGTGCGGTGTGCCCCGCCTGGATAGGGTCTCGATTATTTGGAATCACATATATTAATGTAGTGTACAAACCTATAAAGCTAGAACACATCCATATGCACGCATCGACAAACATACTAGTACCAAAAACTCAATGTTTTGGTTGAACATTATTGATCGTATATGCTTCTTACATATTATAGACTACTATCAGGTATAATACTGTTATAAAAAATACCCCATATGTTTTGATGTGTTCTTTCTGAGAAATATATGTTTTTGATGTTTGGTAAAACGTTGAAATTGGTATAGTTTTTAACTGATCCAAGTTTTACCTGGTTAGAAAACATAACGAGTTTTACCATATAACTCGAAACTATTCAATGATATACCACTTCGATCATGTGAAAATATGCAACCTCTGATAACCACCGTCAAACTCTGACAACCTCCACGAAGAAAGACAAAATTACAGTTAGATTAAAAAGCACATAAAAGAACGGTACCGCAACCACACAAATCATGTGTTTCAATTTCTTTTCATCAGATTCACCGCGAATTCTCTGAAGAGTCCACAAGTCTTTGAATACGATAGAAGAATAATTCAGCTTTTAATCTTCTGTTGACACAAAACATGTGTGTTCACAAAAGCTTATGATTCAATTCTCTGGTAAGAGTGTTGCGAGTTATTGAACGTGACAACTCGTAAAGATAGATGGATCATTGGATCATAAGGTTTCTATTTGGGCCAAAAACGACAACATTTTAAATCTCGAATATATTACCTATCCTCTCTCAGTCCATTATAAGTCGGCCCGTTTATGTTGACGAGCCAGAGACATTTTCATGGTGGTATTCACAACAAGATGCAATCAACACATGCAAACACTGTAAAAAGAAAATGGGAACAGTAAATGCTCATCTTATCTTTCCTTTGAATACAGCTACAAATATGACTGCTTTGAATTTACTTTATTTTTCTTTACTTCCTCTCCATCTTAAACAGTTTTTAATTATCATATCTGCAAGGTCATTTGACAAAAATGCTAGGAAATCAAATGTGATTAAATTAGAAAATTCATATTAGTATCTTCTATTATTTACGCTACCAACTATTTTTTTTTTATCAGCCGTTCATTTAAGCTAGATTAAGTGGTGGCCAGACAAGTCGATTCTTCGGAGAGTACGGACTGGTCATTTCTTTCTTGCTTCTTTGGCTTTTGCATCCGTCCGACAATTCCTACTTCGAGGAATATGAGACAGATTCACATCTTCGAATCTCTCATGTAGACGCTGAAGCATCTCGATCTCTGTCGTGAAAGTTGGTCAGTCCTCTGGGTTAGTATACATATCTACTAGGATTGAGTAGTCCGTTTCATTACGTACTGAGGTTATCCTCATGTGTCTCAAACATGAGGTTGCCTAGAATAAGCCTTCCATCTCAGCATGTACGTAAAGCTGATCAACTCTTTTTACATGTCCGTAGTCCGAAACATTCAAAACCTTTTGATCTTTAAAATTCCACCCTAAACCATTGGGACTGCCATTATCGATCCATGATGCATACACGCTGCCAAACAATCAAAGACCACTCTCCAACTATTAATTAGGTAAAGCGTATGAAATAGCACATGCATCCAACGTGGTAATGTAAATGAAACTTTATATTTACAAATATTAATTTTCATAAATTTAGTCATTCCAAAAGGTGATTAACTAACATTTGGAATATTGAACTTATTAATTTTGGACATATATACCAAATAGTACCAATGGACAGATCCACATTATGAGACTATACCAAACAAACGATTTGTAACATATCAATTATTATTTTTTAAACATTAAGGGATATCATATTTAAACAATTTTGAACCACGAGAAAAACTTATCAAATAAGAGAGACCATATATATAACTAATTTTGAACCATGAGAAATTTAGTAGTCTTAAAATTGGACTAGTGTAGATGTATAATAGTATTTCCGTCAACTTTCGTCTGCGTCAACAACAGTCGCCGTCAAATATTTAATTTCAGTGTCCGAACCACAGAATCCGAGCCGAGCCTTAGCCGTGACGATCAATCAGTCACGGCTCGCGGTCTTAATTTATCTGAACTGAATCTAAAATCAACGGCTGAGATAAACCCTTAGAAAAATCCAACGGCGAAAACAAACGTCCGTGAGCTAAAACAAATGTCAAACCAAGTCACCATAGCATTCGGAATATTCTTAAAACAAAAAAAAACAAAAAAAAAATGAAAGAGTGAAAATACTCCACCTACCTATATATTCGCACATATAAATACTCCTTAGTCCTCGCTAGCCGCTGTTGTTTCTGCTTCTCGAATCGTCTTCTCTGAGTTTATCCTCTTCTCCGCTAAAAGGTGAGTCTAGATCCGTTTATTTTCAGGTTATCGCTATTTTCTCTATGCTGATTCGCTAGATCTGTTAAGCATGCGTTCAGTTATATCCAAAAAACTGTTCATATCTTCGTTTGTGGTTGTTAGGTTAGATCGATCTGAATCGATCGTTGATCGTTTAGTGTCTTAGGCCTTAGATCTATGGATCGAGAGGATTCTTATTGCTTTGGCTCGATCTATCGCCGTTTTATTCAGCTAAGTGAAGTTGTCTAGTTCGAAATGATTTGAATCGTCGCTTGATTTAGGTTTATACTTTGATTTGAAACGGGGATGATGTTTATGATTTGATTTCGAGTGTTTTCTCTTTGAGATCTATAGAGTTTTCAATGACTGATTTGATTAATCGTGTATATGTGATCTGATTCTTGCTCATGTATTCAGTGTTGTTGAGCTTATCTGATATTGATTTAGTTTCATTTCCAGTGAAAGATGGCTGATGGTGAGGATATTCAACCTCTTGTGTGTGACAATGGAACTGGAATGGTGAAGGTGAGCTTATCTGATTGCCTGGTTACGTTTTTATATATTTTTATTTTTTTTATGTAAAACCTCTGAGCTTTGTTTTGTATATTATCAGGCTGGTTTTGCTGGTGATGATGCACCCAGGGCGGTTTTCCCGAGTATTGTTGGTCGTCCCAGGCACACTGGTGTTATGGTTGGGATGGGGCAGAAAGATGCTTACGTTGGTGATGAAGCTCAGTCCAAGAGAGGTATTTTGACTTTGAAGTATCCTATTGAGCATGGTATTGTGAGCAACTGGGATGACATGGAAAAGATTTGGCATCACACTTTCTACAATGAGCTTCGTGTAGCCCCTGAAGAGCACCCGGTTCTTCTCACTGAGGCGCCTCTTAACCCTAAAGCCAATAGGGAAAAGATGACTCAGATTATGTTTGAGACGTTCAATGTCCCTGCTATGTATGTTGCTATCCAGGCCGTTCTTTCTCTTTACGCTAGTGGTCGTACTACTGGTTAGTGTTCAACTTATAACATGTGAATAACATTCTGTTTTCTTTCAGTTACTTGTATTTGCTTAAAGTGTTTATTTTTGGATTTTTTATAGGTATTGTGCTCGACTCTGGTGATGGTGTGTCTCACACTGTGCCAATCTACGAGGGTTATGCTCTTCCTCATGCTATCCTCCGTCTCGATCTTGCTGGTCGTGATCTCACAGATTCTCTAATGAAGATTCTCACAGAGAGAGGTTACATGTTCACCACAACCGCGGAGCGAGAAATTGTCCGTGACATAAAAGAGAAGCTAGCTTATGTCGCTCTTGACTTCGAGCAAGAGCTAGACACAGCCAAGAGCAGTTCCTCAGTGGAGAAGAACTACGAGCTACCTGATGGACAAGTCATCACCATCGGAGCTGAAAGGTTCCGTTGCCCTGAAGTACTATTCCAGCCATCTCTCATCGGAATGGAAGCTCCTGGAATCCACGAAACAACTTACAACTCCATCATGAAGTGTGATGTTGATATCAGGAAGGATCTGTATGGAAACATCGTCCTCAGTGGTGGTTCAACCATGTTCCCAGGAATCGCTGACCGTATGAGCAAAGAGATCACGGCACTTGCCCCTAGCAGCATGAAGATCAAGGTGGTCGCACCTCCTGAGAGGAAATACAGTGTCTGGATTGGAGGATCTATCCTTGCTTCCCTCAGCACTTTCCAACAGGTAAAAGGAACAACGATTTATGATTAAATTATTAAAACTTTGAAAAATGAAATATGGTTTTTGCTTCTTTGTGTATACAGATGTGGATTTCAAAGGGAGAGTACGATGAGTCGGGTCCATCTATTGTTCACAGGAAATGCTTCTAAGGGTTCTGCTTCCTATTTCGTGGTGGTGAGTTTGTTTACAAGTCTCTTTCCCCTAGTTGATATGGGAATGGAAACTATATGTTATGTAGTTCTTTGAACCTTATGGACGTGTCAAAAAAGTCTCTGTGTACTTTAGTTTCTATCTGTCTTCTATTTCTCTTTAGGATTCGTGTGATACTGTTCTTGTCCACAAGCAAAAGAATTGTTATATCATGTTTTGGTCGTTGCTTCATTTTTTTTTTGGTTTTTTCCTCTTATAAATATTTGTTTGGATGTCCTAACTATATCTATTTTTAGCCGTTTGAAACTATTCATTTTGTGTGAGAATTAAATCCAAGTATCAGATTAAAGGCAAAGCGGTGGTTATGTATTGTTGGTTTAAGCAGCTTGAAAGTGATGCACATTGAATGTGAAAATTTGATAAATGACTAGTTTTCTTAGTGTTGAGGTAGAACAGTTAGTCAAACTAGTAACGTTTCACATCCAAACTATACGTTTGAAGACTAGCAATCGTTTTCAATTTATTTTGTTTCTGTAGGTGGAAGGAAACGTATGTTATTGGTTACGCTTCTTCACAAAATGTCTAAAACGTCACAATCTGTGTTATCTTCCTACCGAGTTAAATTACTTTGTCCTTTTGTCCCCATCGTTGGAAAGACTTGAAATGGTCGGTACAACTATACTTAAAATAATTTATGAATACTTTGAAAAAATGATCCACTGGACAACTCACACAAACTAATACACACATTAATTGTGTACCGCCCGACCGCCTTTATCAATCTCTTTTTCCTTTCTGTTGTTGTTATGCATTACTTTAACTGTATACACTTTTGTACTTTCCTATCGAATCTTCCAAAGAATCTAATGTCTTCACCATCAATAAGATTTGGGCCAGAATAACCTATGTTGGATAATCAATAAAAATAAAAAGTAAGAATGTCCAATACTGCTAAGTTAAGGCCTAACTGAAAATCGCATAGAAGAAATAGAATGACCCAACCTTTCTAAATTTTTCTTATATTAATCAATAGTATATCATAACCTACCGAATCAAACGTTGATTATGATGGAGACAGAATAAGAAGAAGAGTTACTTGACAGAGGATCTATGGGAAACTACACCGCCGTGATAACAAACCCTGTGGACTCGCGAGACGAACTGGTGAAGGCGGCGTCTTGTTGGGTTAGCAAGTTGTTGTAGTAGATACAAGTGACATCAGCACAAGTGATGTCTAGTGATTACTTGTATCCAGTATTTATCTAAATGTACTCTCTTCGCTCAATCGCTCCTTATCGATTAAGTTCAGTTTTTTCTCCCTCTTAATCCAAGATTGATTAGTTGGAACCAAGAAACAAACCAAAAGTAAGAAGTAGCATAGAGTCTGAGTGAAAACAAAAGACAAGCTCACCACTAGGTAAACGTTTGCAAGATCAATCTATCATCAATCCAATAACTTATACAGTAGTATTGAGCTATCAATTATGTCAAATACATTGTTACAAATACTCCCAACACAATGCAAAAATCACTATCCTCGATTTAGATTTTCTTTTTAAAAAACCCTCAAAATAAAGAGCCAAAACGGAGGTACCTACCCTAATAATCTGTGAGAAGGTATATATGTAACAATGGTATAATAGAACATAACAAAATTAAATAAAAATTTGAAACTATTTCTTGATGAACAAGCTATTACTCCTTGTAGAAGTGAGTTTGAAAAAATTCGACGTAGACATTCTTGTGTAAAGATGTGTACAGATTTTAGGGCTTCTCTGTTTTCTCCAATACAAATACATTCCCTTTTCCATCTCTCCCTACTTGTAAATCTTCGTCTAAATATCTGCCAAATTCTCAGAATCAAGGAATCAAGATAAAAAAGCATTATTAATATGAATATGTTTTATAATTAAATTAAAAGGATACGAGATCTCAAATAGTCCTTCAGGGTTAAAGATTCCCAACAAAAGATTCATGTTCTTCTTGAATATGTTCATCAACTGATCCGGCATGATCGTTGAGCTTTCATAAGTTATCTCAACACTCTACAAAACACAAACGCAAATCCATCAAAACGCAATCTAAAAACCATCAAACGCCAAAATGTTTATACCGTTTTGGATATGATCTTGAAAGAGGCGACGATTCTAAACTCGCCGTCGTGTAGATTCAATCCCCGGACATCGAATTTCAACACATGGACCGTTTTACCCTTGATTAATAAAATAAATTAAAAATTAAAATTAAAACGTCATCATTATTACCAGGAAAGCTGTCTGAATCCGCTTTTAGATTATTATTATTACCTCAGCAATGTCGATCTGTTGAAGAAGATCTCCGAGAGAGACGAAGTCTCGAAGACCCAACTTGGTTCTTTTCGAACCCAAAACGGTGATTGTGCTGTAAATGAGTCTCCAACAACCTCCGATCTTGTCTAACTCTCCGGTCGGCTCCGGCGTCGGATTCCGACATTCTAATAACTTCACCAAACTCTCGATCTCTGTTTTTTTATCCGATTTAACTCCGAATATTCCTCTATTGATCCCTTTATCATCCCAAAAACAATTGAAATCAAAATCTAACCTTTTGCACCAGCTAATGATTCAAACCGGAGAAAGTATAGATTTTTAAAAAATTCACCTTTGAGAGCTTCATAGAGTTCTTCTTTAATCTGAGAAACTGTAATATCTTCTTCTTCGTCTACTTGGTGTTCATTTGGGGAGGAGGAAGAGCTCTGTTCTGTGACTTTACCGATGAACATGGGCCTGAGACGAAATGGGTTGTCACTAAAACTCAGCGTTTTGCTATTGAGATTGCTGAAAGAGAGTAACGTCTTCTTCTTCGCGTCTCCTGCTTTTCTTGAGATTGCTCCCCGTGAAGCTGGCAGTGACGGTGGCTGGATAAGCTTACTCGACATTGCCAGATGTTGTCACACAGTCCGCAGCGAATCGAATGGAGCTTAAGAAGGAGGTAAGAGATGATTTGAGGAGGGTGAATTTTATGGGGAGGAGAATCGACAGTTTTGGTTTTATTTTATCCATCTTTTAGCATATCCATCTACCACCACCATACACTATGCAATATAAAACCAAAATTAATTTTTTTAGTGTATAAAAAAATTTCTTTTGATCTTATAAATTAATTATCATTTAAAAAAATTATATATATAAAGACATTTTTTTGTCCAAGATTCTTTTTTTATTGAATAAGTGTTGGAAATGTTTTTACTTTCCCATACTATATTTTCATTACCACTAAATTAGTCGTGTTTTCATGAGTTTTGCTGTATTTGTTAAACATGATTAGGCTGCTCACTAGATCTAATCAAATAAAAGCCTCCAGTACCACCAGTTGATAGAGAAACTCGTTTCTCGATGCAATTTCAAAAATTTATGTGCCATTGTTGTTTCTTTTGTAGTTCAGTACAAAAGCTGGTTTTAATAGTTCTGTCAGAAAGCTTTTCGTTGAGTTGCTAACGTTAACTTTACTATTTATATTCACCGTTTAACATGTAGTCGTTAGAAAAGGATGTTATAAGTACTACTACTATTTTTTTTTGTAAAACTGCAAAAGTTGTCAAGTACAACACTTGTTTTAGACAATTAATAGATAGAAGACCAAAAAAAAGGGGGCGTTCCTAGAATTGAACTAGGACCTCTCGAACCTAGCTAGATTGCTGAGTTATGTTTATATGAAATGCTCTATCCCTGGCCAGCGTCATGCTTTAAATGGTTTCAGCTCACTTTTCTCCGACTGTGCAAAATCACAGCAAAAGATGGAGAAACCAGGTGAGACAAAGCTTGTGAACAACATTCGAAGCCAATGAGGAAGAGAGTGTTTTTCCCTTAAATCGTAGAAACGCTTTGGTCTATGGTAAACCGAGTCCGGTTAATGAGAAATAAGGTCATAATGGTTCAAACTTGAAAGTGTAGTTTGAAAGTGTAGTTTAGTGGCCGTTGCTTGATAAATTAGTAATTTATTAAATATCACGTGGTTTCCAAGAGTTCAAACTTGATGCCACCATGGAGATAGAGTGATATGCTTAATAAAACATTATTTCGACAAATTAAACTTCTAGAGATTAAGACTTCTGGGATGGAATGCTTTTTGGTTATAGGTAGGTGTTTAACACGTCAACAAGCACTAATTATTATCTAATGTAATACCTTTTTCTGGCTAACTGCTTATATAAACTTCCTTTAAAATGGAGTAAGAAATTATTTTCTGCTTTCTTTGTCATTTAAATATTGAAAAAAAGATAATAGAAAGGTTAAAATGAAATTGTGGAGTGCATGTGGATTGTGGAGTTTCTTGGTGGACTATCTTTGCCATCTCAATGGACACTTAACAAAAGAAAAACATCAATAAAAGTACTTCAAAATAGATTAACAAAGGAAATTATCCAATTACTTAAGCGCAGTTTTGTCTTGTTCCCTTAAAGTATGCCAATATTAACTATTGTTAACTCCCCGTATAAACAATAATTAAGCAAAACAGCTAATGCGTACCCCACATTGATTCGGTCAATAAATAGTAAAAATATGTCTCATTCATTATGCGAGTCTCAAGGCTATAGCTTAAAGTCAAAAAATAAATATTCGTTTGTTTTTTAATACTTATCGATTTATTAAACTATACTCATCCAAACATTTTTGGAGACTTGGCATTGACCCATTAATTAGAAATTGAATTTACATTGACATGAATTGATTAAAAATTTGCAGCAACCCCTGAATCTGCACAAAGACATAACATTAAAAAGGTCAGATCTTTAGATATGAATATATGATTTGGCATTAAGCAAAAGAAACAATTCCGAAGAAAATCATTTCATTTTCTTTAAAGATCTAGACACAAGCATATCATTGTGTAAATTACAAAAACCAAAATATCTCAAATTTGTTTTTTCAAATCTATTATTCATAAAATCCAAGAAAATTAAGTTCTTAAATCAGATTTTTTTTTAGTAAACAACAATATGGAAACCAAGTGTACCCTCCACCAACTTAAATTCCAAACTCTTGAAACATTTTTAGATTCCACTGTCTTCTCTTCTTGTGTCTCAAAACACAGATGTTTGTTCTGTCTTGAACTTTTCTCTTTTTCAACTCTCATCATCCCTTTCATTCAATTTTACCAGTGTCTACTACCTCCTTGAGAACTGCCCCCTCTTCTTGGAAAAAATCCACCTTTCTTAGGTTTAGGTATCTCATTAATGTCCATCACCTGTATAGTCCTTTGCTTTTTAGCTGCATTCACACCATTAACAAAACCATCATGAAACAATCCAATTCTTAAAAAATCTTAAACTAATAAAACAAAAGAGTTTAAAAACCATTCTCAGCTTGTCGGTAGTTTTGTTGCAGTCTCTTCCTAGCTGTGTCAAAATCAATTTCCTTGTGCTCCTTCTCCCTCTGTAATCCCCAAACCAAATTCATCACCATTGACATAACACTAGACACATTAAAGTACATATACTAGTATACAGTTTGACAATGTTGTACGTACCTGAATGGTTGGTTGAGAAGGAGAAGGACGAGAAGGCTTAGCTGGAGAAGGAGATTCTCTCCTAGGAGGAGGAGCAACAGGTCTTGGCTTTCTCTCTGGCTCTGTAACATTACTGCTCTTGCTTGAACCTGAATACCCATCTGTCCGGAAAAGAAATAAGTTTTATGGATTACAAATGTATTAAGATCAGAAGTTAAAATTTCAAAAACTTACTCCTACTCTGAGGAACCGGTGAATAACCAAAATCAGGAACCTGTCACATAGAAAAAAGAATAACAACTGAAGCTCAATGACTAACCAAGAAATGAAAAAAGTGTTTTGGTTTTTTTTAGTTACCTGTTGGCGATTACCATTATGAAGAGCTCTCTGTTGTGGTGAGTCCTCATCAGCTACAATGAAGAGTGATTGATTGTTCTGTGAGTTCTTTCCAGAGAAAGATAAGAACAATGATTCTTTTTACCTATCAAACTCGGAGGTTCAAGATCACCAGGCGGGTTAAGTTTGACCCATTCATCTACTGTTTCCTTCCATTTTCTGCATTACACAAAAATAGAAAGTGAATTAAAAAATCAAGACTGGTTGTGGTTCCTGTTGAATTTAGGCAAGAGAATGTGATAGTAACTTGACAAGCTGTTTAGCTAATCTCCGAACATCATTGGATGGATGCTTCCGAACTTTATTCACATGCCTCCCAATATCAGTTTCCTAAAGTGACCAAACAATTATAAACTATGAATAACTGAAGAAGCAAAGAGAGTGCTGTTGTTGGAATCTGACTCAAGTCACTACCTGAAGAGCTTGGAATGTTATCTCCATATCTTCCAGATTCTGAAGCAGCTCTACCAAAGCTTCTTGAGACTAAAACAACAAAACACAAACAAACAAACAATTCAGTCTTCAAAAACTGAAACCGAATCTTAGAGATTCAAGAGAGAAGATTAAGACCAGACCAGATCAGGATCTTCAAGTCTCTCCTTGATTTCAAGAACACTCTTCTGCTCATCATCAAACAAACCAGCAAACGGATCAAAACCATCATCTTCATCTTCGTCATCATCACCATTAACAGATCTCTCTCTTACTTCTTCTCCTTCTTCCTCCTCCTCGTGAACACTCCCATTAGCCCTAGCAACCACTTCTCCTCCTCCACCACCGAAATCACAGTTCCTACACTTGTTAGCCATCGAGGTCGCGTAGAGACGCTCAACGATGTTGTCTCTCCTCTGCTTCAGCTCTTGACCGTAATCAAGAGACGCAACTAAGATCGCTGTATCGATAAATGTCCAAACATCAACACCTGCGTTATCCATAACCGACCGAAAATCATCCAAATCCATCGCAGCCACACACAAACCTCTCAAAGTTCGTTACTTTACAGATATGAAAGAAAAACAGAGCAAGCCTTAGATCTACGAAACGGATCGTTTGATGAATTCAATTCAAAGAAAGATTGAAAACCCAACTCAAATTCAGTAAGAATCAGATTAAAAACAGATGAAAGGAAACGCCTTTTCGAGCTTTGATGTTAGCTTTACTGTTACGAGAAACAGAGAGAGAGAGAGAGGAAGAAACAGAGGAAGGAAGATGAAATGGAATATTCCAAGTTTGAGGCTTTAGAATATGTTTTGGAAGGTTATTGCTTTTTCTTCCTTCATTCTTCTGCAAGTTTTTGTTTTTATTTTGTTGTGTTTAAAAATATTCTTCGGACAAAACCAATCACAAGTTAACGAAAAGGAGATTTGCTTTTAATCAGGAATGCTCTTGTCCTAGACAGAGCAAAGCTGAAAGCAAGTTGGTTTGTTGTAGTTGGGGAGATGAATTAACAGCTAGAGAGAGGTGAGAGAGAGAGAGGCGTGTGTTTTTCAATAATGGCGTTTACTTTTTTTAAGTATCTTTCTTTAATTACATACCTACTTAATGGGCCTTTGAATTGTTGGCCCGAAACATGTAGAAGCAAAATGGAAATTAAAAAAACACTTTAGCTAATGGGCCTTTGTTGAAAAAAAGAAGAAGCTAATGGGCCTTTTATTTATGGGCCATATAACTGAATGCTTTTGATCGATTCTCGACGTGGACAAACCCCTGCCGTTGGAGACTACTGGAAGTGTTTAATGTCTTATCAGCCCACTTGGTGTGTTTATTTAAATTTTACATGGACCCATTAGCTGGCATAAAGTATGCGTACCATCATAAAAACATCAGAGTAAATATAACTATCCTCTGACACACAACTTTATTTTGTAAAATCATGTCTCATTGAATATGGAGATCTCATAATTGTTACCGTCTTGCAAGGTTTACTGCTGGAAAGTTCTTTGGTTTACAGCTCGGCAACTTCTCTAGGGTTACTTGCTTCTTGTCACACTTAAACTCTAGTTATGCTTGATATGATTGGTTTCTTAGAACTTTTTATATGGTTTTCAAGGTATTTATTTACTGGGAATTGAAGACACTCACCAACTAAGACTCGGTAATTCTGACACAGACAACGGTCAAGAGGCCAGCCAAATCAAAGACACCGAGACAGAAGAAGCTGGTTTGATGTAGGTTGATCTTAATCTTCCTCCTATGCATGTCTAGTGAGTTAGCTTTTAGTTTATGAGCCTTTTCTTTAATGATGATTCTTTGGTTATGAATTATAATTGTATATTTGTTTATCTAAGAGATTATGTTCAGTTTAGTACTATTCTAAATATGTTTTACATGTAAGAGATATCAGAATGTTTTTTCGAAATGTTAAAATCAGTGTGGTAGTGTCCATTAGTCATCTTTCGGACATTAGGAATGTGATGTCCTTTTCAAACATATTGTCAACACTTTTTTCGTGAACTTTGGACTATTACTGGAAGCATCCGATGAGTTCTCAGTGCCCATACGTCTTAATAATTATCAAAAGGATTTATTTAACAGCCGCCAGTAATTTTTGTCTACATGCTTGTTGGTGATTATCAAAATAATTTCACAGTCTTCTTACAAATGTTTGCACTGAGGGTTGGAACTCAAGTTCGTTTGTTTTTGTATTCATATATGTAAAACGTAAATTAGACAAAAACCAATAATCATTGGAATCAATCTCAATCCAGTGATAATTACAAAATTTAAGCAAATGACCAAAAAAAATAAAAGCTAACATTAAAAGTGTCACTATTAGCACCTAGCAAACCAAACTTTGTGTTTGGTCATTAAGTTGTACGTATTGAAATGAGTGGTTTAAGTCATCTCACGATTCATGTCTGTAAACATCCCCGATCTCTATCTAATAAATTTCTTCATGCACATTCGCTTTCTAACTATTTATTTAATCATACTCCAATGTTAATTATATAAACTATAGTTCTTATAATCGAATTAAATTGATTAGATTATGTTCTCTCATCCCCCATTGAAGATATAACCAAATCTCAATTTCTTGTGAAAAGTAATAATAAGAAATTAGTCACACTTCTAGTTCGTTTGTAAGAATATATATAATTAACATTCTTTGTTTCTTATAGCTTTACATATTGTTCTTTTTTTTCTGTTGGCTAAATATAATTTTTCGAAATTTTTGAGGAGGAACATATAAAAATGTGGCACCGACAGTTTTTAATTTAATTTTTCTATAAGAGCAGGTAGCCATGGGATTTGGAGAAAAGAGTACATAAAATGCGATTCCAGTCGAACATGGAATGTGACATCTGATGTTTTAACCCACTAATAAATGTTTTTTTTTGTTTCTCTTCTTTTAATTTCAGTTTTAGTTTTAAGCTAATGTTGTCGAATACGTGAGTTTCTATCTCAGCTTATTCATATATGGTAGATATATCGATTGTCGGCAAATGAATACATATGAATGTTTATATATTCGAAGTGACATGATAGTCTCAGACTCTCAATAAGTGCACATTGTTTTCCTCTTGTATCATTTTTCTATGAAATAATATCATTCTAGGGCAGTTTTATGTTTTTTATGTCATAATAAAATAGTTTATGCTATATAGGCAGTTTTTTTTAACTCTATCTACTTACTCTTCTAATCCTAAACGACATAGTTAGGAAACCAGCAACTAAAGATTTTGTTTAAGTATGAATTAACCTCAGCCCTTCATCCATATGACATCCAACGCTTCAGCTTCAACCTGTTTCTTTTGATTAGACACATATTTCTTCCATCTCTCTTCTTTTTTCTCTTTTGTCTTCTTCTCTTTCATTTCCTAATTTTTTTTAAAAATCAAATTTGATTCTTATATTTTTTTCTCATTTTTTCTGATGAAATCGTGTTCTCCATTACTCAATCTATCTTTTGAGATCTGTGAAGATGCATTTCCGATGTTGGTGTACACCTTATTTAATGTACACATGTTATTTTGTGTACGCTTTTTTGACACATACAGGTATACATTCAAAATGAACTAATATATGTGAATAAGTTATGTTCATAAGGTACACTGGTGGTTGCTTACTAAAAAAATACCAAACTGCATAACAATAGGTGTATAGATGGTTTTAAGTGTTATTCATATCTAATGATTTCTAGCTTTGATTTTAGTTCATTAAATTTTGTTTCCAATACATAATATTAACTTTGAAATTTTGGAGGTAATATGAAAGCAATAAAAACAAGGATCATCGTGCAGTTATAAAGAAGTACTGGAATGAGTAATCAAGGAGTTTGTTGGTTATTTTGTGTACACTTTGGGACATGTACACCTGTACTTCAAAAATGGACCAATATATGTGAAGAAGTTGTACACAAGTAGGTGGACCGACGGTAACTTATTAAAAAATAAAATACATAATAAAATAGATCAAGTTAAACTGAATATGATGTACATGAAAATAGGTGTACACATGGGTTATGCATTTTGTAAAACCTTTGTAATATAAAACCACAATTGATGTGCAACAAGCATATTTCGAACATATGTGTACAATAATAATATATAATATTGTACATAACCACGATTGTACACATGTACATAACCACAAATGTACACATTTACACACAAGTACACATGTACGTAGTCATTGTACATGTGTACACTACCATTATGTACACATCCACGTGGTCTTCCAATTAAATTTTTTTAATGAATGGCAATTTTGTAATAAGTTTACCTTCTTCCTAGTAGGGTTTTCTGCGTTTTCTGCAAATATAATACACAGCCGCCATTGATTTTTATCATACAATCTTCATTGTTTTGCATTTTATCTCTAGAACTTACTAATATCTCTATATAGATTAACATATTATAATCCAAAATAAAAAAAAAACAGATAAAAACCCACAAAGTAAACGCAGAAGCCTTCACTGTAATTTTCTTATACATAGACACTTCCAAAATTATATAGATTAATAGATTAGAATTCAAAACCAAGAAAAAAAATAGATTACAAAATAATCTCTCCAGTAGCCCTCTTCATATTATGTCGTTTATCTCTGTCATACAAGTGAACAATCTTTTTTATTTTTTTCTTAGAAAAAATAAAACCATTCAAACATAAAATAAATTAAAAATATATAATAATCCCTAACTAATTAAAAATTTTATATTACATTTTTAAGGGGCAAATTAAGTCTTTTCATCAAATAACTGCCTCAGTAGTGGGAACTGCCTCATTCTGATAATAAAAACACAAAACTGTCCCACAGTGAAAATTACACTTTTTCTATATGGTCAACAGTTCATTAACAGAAGGAAAGACAAATGTTGAACCGTGGTGGATGGATCCAACTGCAAGTATATTAAGGGAATAGTTAATGAATAGAATTAGATAATCTAAGTCTTTATTTAACGCAAGGGAATGAAACCATTGATACTATAAAGAAAGACTATAGTAACCCATGTGCATTATTAAGAGTATATCCAAAAGATACTTTATAACTTCAAATATGAAATTTTTATCTCTCCTAAAAAACTCTAAAACTTCAAATTTGAAATTTTGTGTAATAAAATTTCAAATATAGAGTGTTACTATTCAAAACTTCAAATTTGAAGTTTCATATTTTATTTACATTTTGGTCCTTACAATTACACATCATATTTATAATAATCTTAAATATTTATTATTTGTCATTTTAATCCTTAAAAATTCTTATTTGATAAATAATTCAAAATTAATTTTATAAATTTTAAATTTATATATGTTTTAAAAAAAACATCAAGAAAAACTTAAAATATTCTAAAACTAGAACTAAATAACAACAATATTACATTATATATATGGTATTTTGTTTGTACTTTAATATTTAATTATATATTTCTATTTATAATTTTATATTTTAGAGTAACATATTATGAAATAATATTTCTATAATACTTTTTTACATGTGATAGTTATTTATAAAAAATCTATGAATTTGAATTACTTATGACAAATATAAAGACCAATATATAAAATACAAATAGTTTTGAAGTTATATTTGATGTTTGCTAGAATATAACATCTTCAAACTTCAAATATAGAGTTTTGCAAATTTTATAATAGAAAATTTTCTTGAAGATGCTCTAAGTATTAACAACACTTTGAGAAAAACATTAAAATAAAAACACGAATTAGAAGGTATAAAAGTGACCAATGCGGGTCAACACAACATATATGTATAAGAGAATAAACACTTGAAATGGTTCGTGCAAACTGTTCATGAAGCAGAAGACAGAAGAACTAACTAACACATGGAAATAAATGTTAGGGTGATCTAGGGGTGGACGCAAGGCAAATACTTGCTATTTTGTATGTACTTGCGACTTGACTTACCTTGTACGAATAATAAAATTTTCGATTTGTATTTGACTTGTTTAAAACGAATACTTGCTATTTCGAGTACCTGATGAAAAATAAATGACTTGCAAATTACTTGACTTGCTCCATTACTTACTATTTACGAGTACTTGTGAAATATTTACGAGCTTTTTCGGAATATTTAAGAACTACTAACTAAATAATATTATGTTAGAAATAGCCATGAAAGTTTGTTTTCTTTATTCTACTTAAATTAACATGTAAATTATTTTAAACAGAATATTTATTCATATTATAAAAAAGATAAATTAAAAATGCATATTACGGTATATAAACATTGTATAATGATCACGATTACAAGAATATCTTCTCTAAATAAGTAACAAGTAATAACAAATCATATAACTAAATTTTTAATATTTGTTGCTGTGTAATACTTGACTAGATAACGACGAATATTCAAAGATCAAGATTGGATACAAAATAAGTAATAAATATAAGAAAAATAGTGAGTTTTTATGTCTAGTTCTACATGCAAGTAAAAGAAAAGACAAGTATGAAAAACTAATTAATAGATCATATAACAAATAGCAAGTAATGGAACAAGTAACGGGGCGGAACAAGTCAAGTACAAAAATAATAATGATACTTGATACTTGACTTAGTCTTGCAAGTAATGAAAATTGTCGCCTTGTTACTTGCCTTGACAACATCGAGTACTTTAATTTTTAAGGCGGGTACGAGTCAAATACCGAGTTTAAGGCGAGTAACGAGTAATGATGCCCAGCCCTAGGGTGATCCAATGTTAACCTAATATAGTAAACTTATATATTTTCACTCCCGAGAAAAACGAGTGATTAGAAAAAAACTATTTTTACTAGTAGTTCTGGTATTTTACACTTCAATTTAATACCTTTAAATATAAAAAATTTGACTTGAGATATTCTCTTACGTCAATTAAATACCCTTAAAAGAAAAATTAATTGAGCGCTAGGGTTAAAAATTATGTGAAACGACAGTGTTCCATTCACATTACCAATTACTGACGCTTCACTCTTCAGACAATAGGAGTGGATGACAGAGACCGTCAAAGCGACACATATTTCGTGGGTCCTACACTTTTCATTTTGTAATACTTTTTTTTTGAGTTCTAAAGGTCTTTTTTTTTTGTATAAACTTTAGTAGTAGTTCATACTTAAACATTATAAATCTCTTAACACTTTTCACTGATCTCTCTCTTCTGTCCGTATCTCTCTCTCTCTCTTCACCTTCTTCCATACGCGTCTGCTTCTTCTTTCTTACTGTACATTTAGCCCCCACTCTTTTAATTATCTGCAGCTCTCCTTTCACTCTCCATCTCTTCAAATCTATTTATTGTGAACCTACATTTGGAGAGAAATAAAGAAAAGCCAGCAAAAAGCTGCGTTTCAATCAAAAACACCTTCTCCACACGGCTTCTCCCTCCCCATTTCTTTCTTTCTAATTTTTACAAAGTTTTTCTTCATTGCTTCTAAATAAACTGAGAAAATCTCCCTAAAAGAAGCCTCTAACGCTCATTGCATGGGAGTTGAAACGATTAGATCTCTCGAGTTAAGTTGAGTTTAGTTGCAGAACTCAGAAGCTATCTCTCTCTCTGTTTTCTTGTGGGAACATGAATACTGGTGGTCGGCTCATAGCTGGTTCTCACAATAGGAATGAGTTCGTTTTAATCAATGCAGACGAGAGTGCCCGTGTAAGTTTTTTTTCTTTACCAAAAAAAAACTCAAACCTTTCTCTCTGTTCCCGTGTAAAGGTTCTACCTTTGTCTTCTTCTGAATCTGGGTTTTACATTTACTCGTCAAATTCGATTAGGGTTTTTCATTTACAGTGATAGTTTGTGTCGGTGGGGTATTCAAATTCTAAAGTTCAATTGCTCTGTTTGAAAGAACAAAACTTTATAGTGAATCTTGTTGTTGTTCTGATTGAGTTACATTCTATGTGTAAAACTAACTGCTCTGTTTTTTTTTGGACTAAAAAAAAGTGACTTCTCTTGTTGACCTTCGAACCCGGGTTGATAGTGAATCTTGGAGTTGTTATTATTGAGTTTACATTCTATGCTTGACTTGATGTGTAAAACTACTCCTTTTTATTTTATTTTACAGATACGTTCAGTGGAAGAACTAAGTGGACAATTATGTCAAATCTGTGGAGATGAGATAGAGCTTTCAGACGATGGAGAGTCTTTTGTGGCGTGTAACGAATGTGCTTTCCCTGTTTGTAGAACTTGCTACGAGTACGAGAGACGTGAAGGAAACCAATCTTGTCCTCAGTGCAAAACTCGTTACAAACGCATCAAAGGTTGTCCACAACACTCCTTAACTTCTCTTTTTTTTAAAAATTGGTTTAAACTTGTGTTATGTTCCCACACACTCACATTGGTTTTTCTCAGGGAGTCCAAGAGTTGAAGGAGATGAGGAAGATGATGGAATTGATGATCTTGATTTTGAGTTTGATTACAAAAGTGGGTTAGGATCTGAACATGTTTTTGACCCCAACTCTGAGTTTGATTTAGCTGCTCATGGCTCTCAGATGCCACTGTTGACTTATGGAGATGAGGTTTTGGTTTGGTTTATACTTTCTCTCCCAACTACTATTCAGTTTTTTTTTTTCTTCCCTTGGCTCATGTGGTTGTTTTTTGTTTGCTAGGACGTTGAGGTATCTTCAGATAGACATGCTCTTATTGTTTCTCCATCTCCTTCCCAAATCAATAGGTTCCACGCCCATTTTGCTGACCAGACTCGTATGTTCTCTTCTTTGGTTTTTAGTTATGTTTCCTTTTATAACCAGAGGCCATTGGGACAAAACTAATATTACTTTTCTTTTATTAATATGTTCTCTGTTACTAAGTTAGTGGTTTGGTTCTGTAAACAGGACATCTAAGACCAATGGTACCTCAAAAAGACCTTGCTGTCTACGGATATGGAAGTGTTGCCTGGAAGGATCGCATGGAGGAATGGAAGAGAAAGCAGACAGAGACATTAAAAGTGGTTAAACAGGACGAAGACTCCAGCCTCGGAGATGAGATTCCCATGTAAGAGACCAATCTTTTTTTTGTCAGGTTTCATCACTTTGCTTTACTTAATAAGAGCTTTGTTTTTGATATATATAGGATGGATGAAGGAAGACAGCCACTATCTAGAAAAGTACCGATAAAGTCTAGCAAAATAAACCCTTACAGGATGATGATCATCCTCCGTCTTGTGATTCTTGGTCTCTTCTTCCACTACCGTATACGCCACCCTGTTAAAGACGCTTACGCCTTGTGGCTAGTCTCCGTGATCTGCGAGATATGGTTTGCTGTTTCTTGGGTTCTTGATCAGTTCCCTAAATGGTATCCCATAGAAAGAGAGACGTACTTGGACAGGCTCTCGTTGAGATACGAGAAAGAAGGGAAACCATCTGAGTTAGCTGGTGTTGATGTCTTTGTGAGTACGGTTGATCCGTTGAAAGAGCCTCCGCTTATTACAGCAAACACTGTTCTGTCGATACTTGCTGTTGATTATCCTGTGGATAGAGTTGCTTGTTATGTCTCTGATGATGGTGCTGCTATGCTTACTTTTGAAGCACTTTCGGAGACAGCTGAGTTTGCAAGGAAGTGGGTTCCGTTTTGTAAGAAGTATAGTATTGAGCCACGTGCTCCTGAATGGTACTTTTGTCATAAGATGGATTATTTGAAGAATAAAGTTCATCCTTCGTTTGTTAGGGAACGCCGAGCCATGAAGGTTTGGTTCATTCTTTTGTACATAAGTTTCTTCTGCCTTTGTTTGAACATAATAACATTTCTTTTGGTGATTACAGAGAGATTATGAAGAGTTTAAGGTTAAGATCAATGCTTTAGTTGCGACTGCGCAGAAAGTTCCTGAAGAAGGTTGGACTATGCAAGATGGTACTCCTTGGCCTGGTAATAATGTTCGTGATCATCCTGGCATGATCCAGGTGAGATGCTCTGAGACGTTTACTGCTTCATCTCTGTTCTGTGTGTATACAGTACTCTCAAAACTTATCTGACTATTTTGTTGTTGCTGCTTTTGTAAAAAGGTATTCCTTGGAAACAACGGTGTACTTGATGTAGAGAACCACGAGCTGCCTAGACTAGTGTATGTTTCTCGTGAGAAGAGACCTGGATTTGACCATCATAAGAAGGCTGGAGCTATGAACTCTCTGGTAAATAATCACACTTAGTCCTTGAGTGTTGTATTCTTTGAATTGAAATATCTGATTGTGTCTTTGTTTTCATGTTCAAAGATACGAGTCTCAGGGGTTTTATCAAATGCTCCTTATCTTCTAAACGTGGATTGTGATCACTACATCAACAACAGCAAAGCTCTTAGAGAAGCAATGTGTTTCATGATGGATCCTCAGTCAGGAAAGAAGATTTGTTACGTTCAGTTCCCTCAAAGATTCGATGGGATTGATAGACATGATAGATACTCTAACCGAAACGTTGTCTTCTTTGATGTAAGTACACAGTAGTAACGTTTTCTTGAGTTACATATTTACTCTTGCTTTTTAGTTAACTAACTTGAATGTTTGATAAACAGATTAATATGAAAGGTTTGGATGGATTACAAGGGCCAATATACGTTGGAACTGGATGTGTTTTCAGGAGACAAGCACTTTATGGATATGATGCGCCGAAGAAGAAGAAGACTCCACGCATGACTTGTAACTGCTGGCCTAAGTGGTGTCTCTTTTGTTGTGGTTTAAGAAAGAATCGTAAGGCAAAGACAACAGATAAGAAGAAGAAGAAGAACAAGGAAGCTTCAAAGCAGATACACGCGCTAGAAAACATCGAAGAAGGTGCCACTAACAACAACAACGGTAAATAAAACAAACTCTGCTGTATCATTTGGTTTAATAACTGAACACCTTTTATGTTTCTTCATGTAGTGAAATCACCAGAGGCGGCTCAACTGAAGCTGGAGAAGAAGTTTGGACAGTCTCCTGTTTTTATAGCCTCTGCTGGTATGGAGAATGGTGGTCTTGCTAGAGAGGCTAGTCCAGCTTCTCTCCTTAGAGAAGCAATCCAAGTCATTAGTTGTGGATATGAAGACAAAACCGAATGGGGAAAAGAGGTAATAATAATAAAGAGCTCTTTAAAACAGCAATAATCCCTTTGATGTTGTTGTACGGTTCTTGATGTCTTTAATGGTTTGTTTTGTGAAATTTATTCAAAAGATTGGGTGGATCTACGGTTCTGTCACTGAAGATATCCTAACGGGTTTCAAGATGCATTCTCATGGATGGAGATCAGTGTACTGCACACCGAAGATACCTGCTTTCAAAGGATCAGCTCCCATTAATCTCTCTGACCGTCTCCATCAAGTTCTTAGATGGGCGCTTGGTTCTGTTGAGATTTTCATGAGCAGACATTGTCCTATTTGGTATGGTTATGGAGGTGGTTTAAAAGGGCTTGAGAGATTGTCTTACATCAACTCTGTGGTCTATCCATGGACCTCTATACCACTTCTCATCTACTGCTCTCTCCCTGCCATCTGTCTCCTCACTGGAAAGTTCATAGTCCCTGAGATCAGCAACTACGCAAGCATCCTCTTCATGGCGCTTTTCGCGTCGATAGCTATAACAGGGATTCTAGAGATGCAATGGGGTAAAGTAGGGATCGATGATTGGTGGAGAAATGAGCAGTTTTGGGTGATAGGAGGAGTTTCATCTCATCTCTTTGCTCTCTTCCAAGGACTCCTCAAGGTTTTAGCAGGTGTCAACACAAACTTCACCGTCACGTCAAAGGCAGCAGATGATGGTGAGTTCTCTGAGCTTTACATCTTCAAATGGACATCTCTCTTGGTCCCTCCCACCACTCTCCTGATCATGAACGTGATTGGAGTCGTTGTGGGAATCTCTGATGCGATTAGTAATGGATATGACTCGTGGGGACCGTTGTTTGGGAGATTGTTCTTTGCTCTTTGGGTTATTCTTCATCTTTACCCTTTCTTGAAAGGGTTGCTTGGGAAACAAGATAGGATGCCTACTATTATTCTGGTTTGGTCGATTCTTCTGGCTTCTATTTTAACCCTTCTTTGGGTTAGAGTCAATCCCTTTGTGGCTAAAGGTGGTCCAATACTTGAGATATGTGGTTTGGACTGTCTTTGATTATGATGATACATAAAAGCGTTTTTCCACAGAGGTTTAAGTAGAGAGGAAAGTCTCAGACATTTGTGTTTATGTATTGTGTTATTATTATTATTGAGGGGAAAACCTTATTAGATTGGAAATGAAAATGGATTTAGATATGTAATGTTTTATTTTTCTTCTCAAAGGTGTTGTATTGTACATATAGAAGATGTTGTCTATGTTCTTATTATATATTTTTGTGGTGAAAGTGATTCAAAGAGAGATGTTATATTATTTGTTCTTTCATTGAATACTTTTGTGAAATTTTCTGAATATTCAAGATAAGAAGGGTTGTTTCATTTCTTATGGTTGATAAAAAAAGATGTTTGTTCTTTCATTGAATATTTTGTGAAATCTTTTGAATATTCCAGATAAGAAGGATTGTTTCATTTCTTATGGTTGATAAAAAAAGATGTTTGTATGTGATCTTTTTGTATGTACATAAAGAGATTTAGTTTCTGTGAAGTGTGAACTTCTTGTCTGAATTTTTTTTAGACTTCTTGTCCGTATGTATAATCGTCCTGCTTCTTTCTCGAGAGACTTTGGAACAGGAATCAGTCAAAGTCAGCATGACTCTTTGACTGGAATCTTTTGGAGCCAAAGTTCCAAACCTAGGCATTCGTTTCATTTCTTTTCTTCCTTATTCTTCTTCACTTATCCCTAAATTCAAGTCAATAAACTTACTGAGATGTGAGAATATAGATACTTCATTGGTTAAAACTAACCCAATGTATATTTCATCTCCTAATTTGTGTGCATTGTATTAAAAAAGGGAGTATATAAATGCCACTAAATACTATTGCATGCAATGATACAAAATTCGGTCTTTCATTTAATTTTGTGTATATTTAATAAAGGTTACTAAATCATATTTGCATTTTTGTATTGTTTGGGTTTACCAGTTTCGTTTTGACTTTGCTTTTTAACTAATAAAAAATTATGGAATAGCATTTGTCGTTGTCCTTATGTGTTCACGTAACCATTTGCCTTATGCATTAAGCTGCCCCTCTACTATAGGTATGTAATACCAAAGGTAACCTCAAATTTTGGTTGGTCCAATCAAGGCCGATTCTGAGAAATAGGGAAGTTTAAAGTGATTTCTTAACGATTTCATCTAATTTTTTTTTTAGAAACCTATATACATGTAATTTTCTTCAAAAAAAAATTTAGAAGTTCAAAATTAATGTTTCATCCGGTTTGCCCAGATCCGACCATGAATCCAGTTGTCATATTATATATATGTAACGGCTAAGAAATACATTGTGTAAATAATTGTTTTTTATTTATTTTTGTTTGTATCGGCCAGGAGAGATAGCTCTTCGAAAAAAGCATAATTTTAATTTGTAAAAGAACGAGTCAGCGAAAAGACAAAGCTTACAAAAGGTATAGAGTAGTTACGCGTTTTGTGACCAACGCAAATAGGTCAAAATAAGCATTGAGCCGAATATGGAGAGAGAGAGATTTCGCAGCACCAACGTCGTAGTTTCTCATGGCCTTTAACATTAACGTGATCCTCGAAGAAATTTACTACATATATATAAAATAAAATAAATCGAACACAACACCATATTTGCAAGAGAAAACAAGTTTCAGACGCAAACCTGATATTTTTAGTTTCAATCTTATTTATTTTCTTCGTTTTTGGAGAAGAGATGATAACGAAGGCAGAGATGGAAGCAGCTCAACATCTGATGGAGCTAAGCGATGAAGAGAGTAGTAGTCTCGATATAATAAAGAAGAGGAAGATTGAGGAAATATTCGGTAAAGATGATACTTATGAAGATCATCGCGCAAAAGAAATGGTGATCGTGAGAGTAATGTCACCAAAGAAGAAGAAGTTTAGGACGCTCGAGAGCATTTACAAGGCGACACGACCTATCAGGGTTAAAGAATTCAAGATAATCAGATGATGAAACAACTCTCTTAGGTTTTAAAATTTTAATTAGGGTTCTGTTGTTACGTTATAATGGTCTTGTTTGAGAAGTTACATGACGACGAGACCAAGATATCAGGATCGGTGATTGACTCATTGGATGATCAACAAATCTTTAAGGATGAAGCTTAGAGTTCTGTTATTACATTATCATCTTATTTTTTGAAAACTTTTGTAACTAGTTCGAAGCATATGAATGAAGGTTAAATGGTTTAAACGAAATGTATAGTCATCAATGTACGTAGTTTACATATAATTATTTTGTGAACGAGGTAGAGATTGTTAAGAACACAAGAATTGATCAAGGTTTGAGAGAGATGAACATTAAATATGGTCGATGAATCACGGCTATTAGTTTTCACTTTTTTTTTTTTCATTTTCGAGTAAATTTTCGTACGCGTAGAAGTCTTTGTTAGTGATTATAATACGCGTGTGGGGTTTATCTTGCGCAGTTAATACTCTACCCAACTCTTTGGTACCATTATAAAATACTAACTTCGCAATGTAGTTGACGATGCTTATATGTACAAAACTATATATACGTAACACGTTTATATTGTATGGCTCGTGGTAATTATATGTGCTCGTACAGCTTAGTTGGCAACTTCTATGTAGACTTATGTGATAAGGTTAAAAATTTCAAGAAAGCTAATAAATAGACGGAAATTTAGTTTAAGAATGTCAGGTAGATTTTATAATTGAAAGAACGTAGCATCACTTCATTTAAAAGAAAAACCTTCTAAGATTAAATTATATGTGAAAACTTAACGCAAACAGAATAAGAAAGGTTTTACAACATGTTTTCCGACTTAGAGAACTGAATCTAGATCGATGCCCTGTTTAAGCTTTTACACCAAATGAACAAGAAAGTGTTTCAGAAAGAAAAAAACAAGAGAACAAGAAAGTCTACCAAAGACGAAGGCCAGGCTTGCCTGTAGTTCACGCCTTGGCTTTGGCTTCATATTCATGTGGAGGCTGCAGTTAAACATAACAAACGATTAAAAAAAAAGACAAGTAAAAGGGGAGAGAAACTGATCTAATTTACCATGAAAATTGCAGATATCATCTTTTGTGCAAACCATCTCATGTGCATCGCTCTTTGAGCTGCCACTGCCGCCTGCACCGAGTCAAACCGCAGATACACAAAACCTGCGCTATTCCTGCATTTTATTCAGAGTACAATTATATCACAATCTATCAAACATCAAGAGCCAAATATGTAAAAGCCATTTTGATTGAAACTCATCGCATGATGATAAGCTTACTTGTCTACATAAATATGGTTGACTCTCCCATACTTCGAACATTCTGAGCCAACGTCTTCTTTAATGTCTTCATCAAAATCCAGTTCCGTCTGCAATAAAATAAAAGTTTTATTGTTAATACTACTTGTAGAAAAGAGCCACAACGCTGAGACTCTTTTTTTCACAGCTCCAAAACCAATAAGGATCGAACCTCGGTTGCAGGATCAAACATGTTCTTCAGTAGAAGACATTCACTTGGCTGACCAATAGGCTCAGTGACAAAAGAAGGGATTGCTGGTGTCGGAAACACTGATGTGGGGAAACCAGTGTTCATGCCTGGTTGATTAACAGCTGGTACTCCAAGAGTGCTCACAATGCTGTGCACAGGTTACATATATTACAAGGAGATAAGGACAACATACGAATATTTGTGATGCATACAGGAGAGACATACCTTGTTGCGAGACCTGTACGATCCAGCTTCTGCATAAGTAGAGCCCTTGATTGTGCATTTAGAGCCTGAAAGAGAGAGAGAGAGAGAGACAGTAGTTAAAGAACAAGTAGAAATAGAAAGGAGACAAAAGACACAAAGAAAAGGTTCTCTAACTTACCAGTCCACCTCCATCATCATCATCAAAATCAGCTGTTTTTGGATTAGAGTCTTGTGTGCCAATATGATCAGCGACAGAGGAAACCTAAGGAAAAAATTTATTATATATTTACCATAGTGAAACAACATCAAATACATTATTTATCCACAGGGAGTTAAAAAAATCACCTTGATTGTCCTACCAGCAATCTCCAGTTTTCCATTTAAGGCAATCTGTGCTGCTTTTGAATGTTCAAGTTGCGCAAACTATGGAAGAGAGATTAGTATAAGTGACTTGGTGAGTAATCACGAAGAAAAAGAGTACCAACTAATGTGAAAAAGTGTTCTACTAACCTGTATAAATCCAAAACCTTTGCACTGCCCAGTTGCAAGGTCACACGGTAGCTGAACAAGCTCAACAGGGCCAAACGGCTCAAAAATCTGATAATGAAAATGAAACAACAGTCATTAGGAGCCATTATATTGAAATAATGGACAAACACAATCAATTTGAAACTGATAATACCTGTCTAAGCTGCAACTCTGTCATGTTGAAATGCAAGTTCCCCACATACAGCTTCCTATCCATAGGACCAGTACCACCTAAACCGCCTGTGGTGGTGTTAGATTGAGCCAGATTCTTTTCAGCTTCAGAGGGCTTGACCATCACAGGTTGACCAAGAAACATCTGTCCAGACAGAGCAATGGCCATAGGAACAGACATCACATCATAGAACTCTATATACCTGCAATATAACAAAGAAAGAGAGAGAGAGATGTTGAATTAACGTACACATGGGAAAATATCAGAATGAAACTTACAAAGCATGTAGCAAAGAGAAGTTGGAAACAAAAAAACTTTAGTGCAGTGATGCAAGCTGAGTCTCTTTTGGTGGGTTGGAGGCCTAGATTAATATATACAAAATGTTAGCCATCATGATAAAATGAACAATAGTTTAATCTGAAAACCAATGAAGATAAAAAAAGGCTCCCAAAGAGAGGAACTAAAAAGCACAAGAGACTAGGAGAAAGTATAAGAAGAAGAATATTAATAGGAGTGATAGGCTAATGGGTTCCCTCAAGATTCAGGTTGTCTGACATCTACCTTGACCACGCAGAATTGATTTAAACAAGTGTGCAAGGTATTGCCACCGTCCACATCATTATCGCATTGATAGTGCAGAGAAAACTGAATTTATGCATAATATTCAGTTAAATAGAATTTTTAAAATTGCAGAGAAAACTAAATATGCATAATACTACGTACCAAGTGCACATACACAAAACTTAGTTTAATAGAAGCTAAAAGAAGAAGAGCATACCCGACTCCTTTTGACCGTCTTGAATTTCTGTCCATGATCAATCGCACGTCTCTGACCTGAACTCATAGAAAAATAGGACAATAAGAACAAAGTAGAGAAACAAGATCATACACTAAACATTAAGACTAGAAAGGAAATTAAAAGAGAAAAGATAAAACTCAGCTCTCCCTAGTAAGCACGAGGAAACTAGCCATCTAGATTAATAAATCACAGAAGCATTGAACAACAAAGAACAATAATTAGCACTTTCCAAGCCAATAGGTGAAGTCCATGAAACAAATTATTAGAGACAGGATTAACTGACCGCAACATATACCATGCCTTAAGAAAAAAATTACATATCGAGTATAGGATTATACACCATGATCAAGAATATCAAAACTACAACCTATCACTTAACCAGGAACACAGTTATATACCTTTTTACTGAAAATTGATACCCATGAAGTAAAATATAACAGCTATGACCTAAACTAACTAAAACGGGGAAAATAACCAACAAACTAGAGAAGGCACAAAGTAACTGACCTTGCCAGCTTTGGAGAAGAACTCATAAACATCTCTCTCGGTAGCTTTAAGCGGCATCTGTGAATTACAAAACCAGATAAGTAGGCTTAATCAGTAAAGCTTAACTGTGTTAGTTCTTTTTCAACCCAAAAGTTTAAGAATCTACCTGATAGGCAAAGACAGTTCTTTGGTCTCTCTCAGGATCAGCTTCAGGCTCATCTTTCTTGTCCTTGTGTCTCCTGTGCAATAATGAAAACAAGGACATTGGTCGACAAAGTTTACTAATTACATAAGAGCATAACAAAGGAACAGAACACAACAAAACCTGCTTCCTCTTTCTACCACTTCACGTTCCCTCTCCTCCCTCCGTGACCTACTGCTGCTTCTCCTATCTCTCTCCTCTCTCCGTGACCTACTGCTGCTTCTCCTCTCCCTCTCCTCCCTCCGTGACCTACTGCTGCTTCTCCTCTCTCTATCCTTCTCCCTCTCACTTCTCTCTCTGTCTCGGCTTTTGCCCCTATCGCTCTCTCTCTCTCTTGATCCTCCCCTAATCTTATCCCTCTCTCTTCTTTCCCTGTCTCTGTCGCCATCTCTGCTGCTTCTGTGTCTCTCTTTATCTTGATCCCTTCTCTTACCTTCGTTGTCGTCTTCTCGAGACTTCTTACTTCGGCTGCTACCTCGCTCTTCTTCGGCATGCCTCTCTCCTTCTCTCTTCCTGTAACTCCTCTCGCTCTCTTCCTTCTTCTTTCCCGATCCATCTCCTTCCTCCACTGTCTTCTCCAGGTACTCGTACTCGTCAAACTCCATTCTCGTCAGAAAGGGTTTTTGTTAGGGTTTCGAATTGAAAGAAGCGAATTAAGGGAATCGAATTTAGTTCCGCCTGTTTGATTGATATCTGAAAAATGGTTTCTGAATCGTAAATTGCAGACAACAGATAGGTTATAAACAGTACATCACGACACAACCCAGCAATGTTTATGATGGCCTATATAGTTGTCGGAATTACGCAAAAGGCCCACACATTGGGCCTAAATAGTTGTCGGAATAATGTAAAAAGGCCCATCTCTCCAGATTGTTGTTGTAGACGTCAAAAATTGTTTATTTCTCGCTATAATTATTTGACTTATATAGTTGTAGAGGTGTTTGTTAGCATAAACCAACAATGATCTGAGGAAACAAATGGCTGATAAAACAATTAAGTGGCAAAAAACTCCACTAGTGTACATAACCATACTACACTCTTTCATGTCTTGTCAAAGAAAAACAACTGTTTCGAGTTTTTTTTCCCATACAATGATGGTGATAAGTCAACGAAGATCCTAAAAAGCTGAATGAAAAGACGATCCACCCACGCACATGTTCAAGATCTTAGTACGGCTTTGTGGACCATGGTTTCCTTGTGAATTTGATGGCAACTCTTTTCAACAAGATCTAAGAGCTTCTCCAAATTCACTGCCCACGAGTTGAGAATCTCGTTGCTGTCCTTTGCGACCTGGAAGCACACGATTCCTGATGGTCTGTCTATTTTTGCAATCAGTGCTTTCGACACTACCATCTCCGAGAGATACTTCTCCGCCTCCTAAAATTATTATTCCAACATTTACAATTGTATAAAAAGCTTAGTAAGAAGCAGACGATACAACCCGAGAGAAGAAGATAAATTACCTCAATGCTTAAGCATAAAAGCTCTGCAAGTCTCTTTAAGGTTATCCTTGAGTAGTACTTCGAGACAACGAGAATATTCTGCAGATTACAAAGAGGACTTCGGAATGTTAATAACAACAACTGCCATTTGCCAACAAAAATGATTCTCAGGGAGAGACTTACATGTTCGATGATTCTCAGCTTCAGATCTTCACCAGCTTTGTCACCCAAAGAGCCTCCAACCAGGCTTTTTTCTTTCTCAAACTCGCCCATGTATTTGTTCCAGAGAGCTGTCCATTGAATAACCTCCATTGTCACTACCTGTTTTAGAAGCATCCTACAACCAATATAATAAATCACACAAAAGACTACTTAGAACCCACATAAATTCCGAAAATAGTAATGAACAAAAACAAAAATTTATGGAGAAAGAAAATTACTTGAAATCAGGAATTTCTGATAAATTCTTATCCTCCAACGTTGCATTGAGCAAGCTTGATTGCATTGGATCATGAGGTGCCAAGACCAAGAACCAGCAAATCTTCCTCAGAACCTATCATTTGAGGAGCACAGAGAAGTTATTCTTAAGCTAAGCATAGAAGGCATAATATATTTAACACAAAATCAATGCTATGACGCTTACGGGAATCCACTGCTCTGGGGTTTCTTTTACAGAAGGAATGTCATATATCGCCTTGTAGCTACGGCAGATTTCGAGGTACTCATTGTTATGAGAATAATACCTACATGGAGGAGTATTTATACGGTACATCAGAAGTCTGCGGACCCATAAATCCAAATCATGAAAAAATTCATCGGAGAAGCGCAAGAAGACTTTACCGAATCATGAGCTCATAGTAAATTCTCTTGAGCTCCAACAAAGTTGGTATATCAGCAGGAGCCTCCTCTACAATGTTCTCTCCTTCCTTAGGTTTCTTCTTATCTTTCTTTGTATCCGCATCAAACACTCTAGGGTTGATCTTCCTCGATAAGATTTGTGCACGGACATAATCTTGACGATCCAAGCACAAGCGGACCTTTAAAGTTCACCCAAAGAAAAAAAAACAATTAGCGCCACCAATGAAAACACCAGTAGATATTAAACTGCAACAGACATTTAGCAAAAAAAACCTTACTTGTTCGAGGATAAATGCAATTTTCTCAGTTTTGGCCATAGCACCAAATGTCTCCACCTGTTAGTCATCATCATACTGCATGAATTGACTAGTAAAGAGAATTTCCAAGGGATTAAGTACCAAAAATGGAAGAAAGCTTACAGCAACTTCTTGCATAAGATCAGCAGCTTCAGCAATCTGACCCTGTTCTTCCTTAATCTTAGCAAGCTTCCTTGTCAAACGAGCCCTTTCAATCTCAACATATATCTACACATGCAAAAATTCAAATGCAAACAATTACACAAAAATGATGAAGATAACAAACAACATCAGTTTCTCAAATCCGCACCTTCCCCGCAGACACATTGTTCAACGTCTTAATAAGCTCAATCTTAGTTTCTATATCTGGAGTCTGATCAATATACTGCATCGCTTGCTGCACCATGGATTGCACTGCCTGAAAACAAAGAAGTTAAAAAAAAAAAAAATCACTTTCCACTTTTGTATCATTAAATCTCAATAATATCATGAATCTGTATCACTTTGTACCATCACTATCATCACTATTAATCATGAATCATTAATACTTAAGTTAACACTCTAATAGGTTTCAATTTGAGCAAAAAAATGGCGAATACTTCTATCTATTTCAACAATTAGGGTTACCAAACAAACCACTATAGGCCTAATCAATTCTCAAGTCGAAAACTAAATTCGAAATTAACCTGTTTGAGCTGACCACGTTTCTTGGAGAGATTGAGAATCTGCTCATTGAGAAGTTTCCAGTCCTTAGCTTCGAAACAGAGCTGGAGAATCTCAGTAGCGGCTTTCCTTGTACCGGAAACATTCTCCGCGAGTCTCATCTGCTTCTCTTCGTTCAGAAGCCGATCTATCGACGCCTCGAGTTTCCCACTGTCTCCCTGAAAAAAAATCCACAATGTAAACTGAAGATTCAAAATTCAATTAAAAAAAAAATAAACAGATCTGAGAAATCTGAGAACTCGCCATCGCAAAAGAAGTAACGATTCAACTGAAAGCAAGAGTAGTTGAGATTCCAGTAGCTGAGGTTATAGAGAGATATAGAGCAGAGCACGCAGAGACTCCCAAACCCTTTGAACAAGAAAGCTCAGATTCTTCGGTGTTCATAATCCATTTTTCGTTTAATGGGCCATTATTGGGCCTTTAACTGATTGTTTTGAGCAGATTGGTTTTGGTTTAGTGGGCCTGTGGGCTTGGGTCATTAACTTCTTTTTAAAAAATATAGAGTTTGCTGCTTATAAATACGACTGTTCTTTATCTTCTTCGGCTTTTTATAATTTCTCTTCACTTCAGTTCCGTTGTAATAAAAAGGAGAGAAGACAAAGAAAAAGCTTAGGGTTCGATTCGTTTACTCTGCAATGTCCGGAGAAGAAGAAGAGAACGCGGCTGAGCTCAAAATCGGAGATGGTAACCTCTCTATTATTCCCTTCTCTACATTCCCAGCTAATAAATTAGGGTTTTTTTTTTTCTTCTTTTCATTCGAATTGATCTTAGTCCAATTCGATTAAAAGACGATTTCTTTTTTATTGAGATTTACCCTTTTTAGAAACCCTACTCAAATTGGCACTGAAATTTTATGGGTTTATTGGCAATTAGAGTTTTTGAAGGCAAAGTGCTTGATGAACTGTGAAGTGTCTTTGATCCTTGAGCACAAGTATGAACAGCTTCAGCAGGTCTCTGAGGATCCTATGAATCAAGTTTCTCAGTAAGTCTTTTTTTTTAAGTTTTGTGCTTTGTAGAGATTTATTGTAAAACTAGCAATCAATAGAGATACAAGAGACTGAGAATTGAAGAATGTTACTGTGATTTTGTTATATTACTCTATAATGATGCATTTTACTTTTAGATGCACGTTATTGCTACTAGTAGTGTTTATGCCAATTTCATTTTCTGATTCAGAAATCAATAGTTTATTTGGTGGTTGACTTGTGTTTTCTTTTTGTAGAGTGTTTGAGAAGTCCTTGCAGTATGTGAAGCGGTTTAGCCGCTACAAGAATCCAGATGCTGTTAGACAAGTTCGAGAGTATCCTCTTTCTGTGATTAGTTTTTTTCATAGTTTATATAACCGATGGTTGCTTTGACATGTTTGCATCTTTATGAGAATGCATTGATTAGCACTGAACGATGAATGAGATAGTTTACAGTGACTTAGTTCAGTCCCTTAGTTCTTGTTTTTACTGTAGCATGTTTTACCTTGACTCAAGTTTTCACAGAATCCTGAGCAGGCATCAACTTACTGAGTTTGAGGTAAGATGTTTAAATCTTTTTAGAGGTTGGATTTTTTGTCATTGGTTAAGTCGTTTAGACAGAAGTTTAAACCGTTGGTTTGGTTGTTATTGAACAGCTCTGTGTTCTTGGTAATCTCTGTCCTGAAACTGCTGAAGAAGCAGTGGCAATGGTTCCTTCTCTGAAGGTAATAACACTCTACCTCTTCTTTTTTCGGTGGAGATCAACTAAAAGGACAAATAGCCTTGTTATGTCTGTGGGCTTTTGAGATATGATGTAAGCTTTTGTTTAGTGTAGACAAAAGGAAGAGCTCACAGTGATGAAGCGATTGAGAAGATGCTCAATGATCTCTCCCTTGTCAAGAGATTCGAGTAGTGCAGAAAGCTCTCAAGACCTAAGTTTATAAACATATTTCAGGATGCTACATTCTCCTTCTAGCTGATGATGTCTAAGAGTTAGTTTTTCATGTCTAAAAAAGTTATAAAGCGTTTATTGTCAGAATCTCTGGAATGATATATTTATGATAAATGAATGTAATTTACAATATGAATTAATCTCAATAGCGCTTCAGATTTGAGAAAAGGAAAGTAATCTCAATTTTTTTATTAAAAAAAAAACTAGCAAGCTTAAGGTAACTAGTTTGTAAATATATCCATTCTTTTTAATAAAGAGAACAGAATCAATAGATCTCAAGACTTCAACATAAATATTATATTACCCTAATTAGAATGTGTAATCATAGTATATGAAGTAAGTAAATCAGTAGGATCTTCTCCAGTGATCACAAGCTCAAAAAAACAAGTATTCTTTCCATCACAAGCTAGAGCATTAAAGTAGAGAACCCTACAAAATTTATTAGATAAACTCTAGTTAATTAGTATTACTAAACATCTTAGCTCCTATAAAAGAATTATCACATTTATCAAACCTTCTTCGTCATTCCCTATTCACATTTTCCACTAAGAGATGAAAGTATGAAACTCTTAGACGGCTTGGCGTGAACGATCTTTGATTCTGGAGGTAAGTGTTTCTACTATTATATATATGTTTGATGATCATCACTGAAAATGTATTTTCTTTACTTTGGACAGATTATTTTCGCCACGAAAATATAAAAAAAAATGTACCAAGAGAGTCTGCAGATTTATCAACTGTGGAGACTTGCAATCCAAGAAAGAGATGAAGCAAGAGAACATCTCAAACATTCACTTGCCGAACTCTCTCAACTAAGGGAACTCTATAACGCTGTACTCTTGTCTGAACAGCAAATGATCACTTATTACCCTGAAACTACATGTCATCCGAACTGTAACTACAATCACTTCCCCGGCGATTCACCTTCAAGGTTCTTGTCTCCGTCGCCGTCGGGTCTCGTCTCCGACCTAAGTGTTGATTCATCTCCGTTGGATCTCACCTTTCGTTCGAATCAGAGCCGTTCTGTTTTGGAGAGTACGAGAGATTATGAAACCGTTGTGCTGGAGAGGATAGGAGGGACGTTGCCGGAATACGGTAAGTTTTTGCAAGCTGTTAGTGAAGCTGGATCGTTGGTTGAGTCATTGTTCATAGCCGGTCCGGTTCCGAAATGGATAAATCCACCGGTTCAATTCTCTAGTCAAAGCCCGGTTATGAGTAGTAATATCACAGGGAATTGGAATTATGGTGGTTTGGAGTTTGGTTCGGGGATCCAAAACCGGTCTTTCTCGGGCAAAATGTCACACTTCAGTTTGATGTCTTAAGTTCCGCATGAAATGTGACCCCAAGAAAATGTTATGAATGATTTATTTTCGGTTGGTACATGTAATGTTTTTAAATGATTCTGTATTGCTAAAGAAGTTATTTTGTTCGTATTATCATATAGCTCTATTACAAGAAAAAGATTAGGTTAAAATTAGACTGGGGGCAGTAGAAAATAATTCTTTAGGTGACCCATTGACACATAACACATTGCCTTTTTCCACTGTTTAGTCAATGTTTATATTTAGTAGAGTAATAGTTTTAAGCAAATGAACAACAAGTTGATATGCCGAGTTGGTCTAAGGCGCCAGATTAAGGTTCTGGTCCGAAAGGGCGTGGGTTCAAATCCCACTGTCAACATACTTTTTGTGTTTTTTTTTCCAACGAGAAATGCTTAATAATAACCGCAAGGATTCTCCCATATTCAAAAGTTTGTTATTTTTGGGTCTTCTGTTCTGTCATATATCTCATAGGCCTCTTTATCAACTCTAGATAATATCAAGCTCAATAATTTCAGGTCTTCCCATGACCAAAGATATCGACTCTAGTGTTTCGCACTTTCACAATCAACAACTAATAAAATGGAAAATCTAGTAGTTATGAACCGTTTATGATCTATATCTAAAGCCTAAAGGAATGGATGATAAAAAGAGTTAATTCGTAAACTTACATTAATACTAAGTTGAATGTATCTTTAAAGTGTTATTTTAAAGATAGACGTTATGTTATATCGAAATGGTGCTTAGTTTATTAGTTAGACATGTTAACAGGCATGCTTAGCTAGATCCGACCCATATGTTCGGAGTTTTCCTTGTGAGTATATTAGTAGGGTAATATACTAATAGTAACACGATATTTTTATATATTTAATCATGTCACATTGCATCGATTTTCGTCGCAAAACTTGTAATGATAGTTGAATTTGAATGCATACAACTATGATGCATGGTGATGAAGATATCATCAGAACAAGAGCTGAGGGAGCGATAGAGGTTGTGGAAGTGTCATCGAGGAAACTATATGTTTCTTGGATGTGTTGTAAGTTCGTTTGTGTTCTATATGTTTTGTAAAATAAAATTAGTGCAAATTGTACGATGTAGAAAGGTTGTAACAGAGTAGTTTATTTTGGACAATCAAACATTATTTTCTCGTCAGTTTCAACGACAGTCGAGTCTTTTAGCAAGAGAAACAAACATAACAACAACAGTAAATTAATGTTTTTCTTAAATATTTAGCTGATAAGAACATGTTTTACACCGCTGATTAAAAAAAAACATTAATTTGGAAGTTCCGTGTAATGATTCAAAGTGTTGTGAATTGACCAGGACCAGCATGTCTAGCTGCTGATTATTGACTCGTACGCCTATAAAATTCAAACTCCGCAGATCCATTGCTGAGTGAAACAAAATAGCCTAAAACTGAAAACTAATCAATATACTTGTAAAACGACAAAAGTATATATATATATATATATATATATATATATATTTATCATAACTTTAAAAACCGATAGGTTGAGTAAATAACAATGGATTAATGCAAAAACTTTACAGTATACGCAATAACGTGTTATACAGAACATGCAACGCTACGGAAAGACGCGCCAAATTAGCTGTAGTTATCTGACTAAACTAAATTAACATAATTAGGTACCATTTTATAATAGTTAACGTAAAAACTGATGGGCAATTTTTGTTACAGCCTGCCTCTATATATATTTTTAAAAGGGAACTATAGTCAATCATTCTCTCACTTAGTTCAAAGGAAAGATCAGATGGAGACAGAAGGAAGAAGAGGAGGAGCTTCTTATTATCTTTTGTTCCCTTTTATGTTCATACACCAAACTCTCCGATCTCTCTTACTCAAGCTTTTCAGTCTGCGATCTCCTTCTCAACATAGTTCTCTGGTAAGTAGCATCTCTAGTTAGTTACAGATAAGTTGATTCTCTAATTATTTTCAGATAAATATGGAGATTCGTGTGATTTTAGATCTCGTCTTCTTTGAAAATGAGATTTCTTCTACTTCCCTGGTGCAAATATCTCCTCAAACTTTATTGATAGTTTCCAATGAATTTAAGATTGTAAATCTTATGAACCAAATTATCATACTCAAAATAATGATTTATTTTCAACACAATAAAATTTAAACAATGCTTTTATTCTGTAATTTTCATTAGTATTCAAATATTAGTGGCACACTGCTAGAGGTAGTATTTGTCTCATTTGACATGTTGAACTACTTTATTATTAGAATAAAGTTGTAGATCTAAATGAGTTTTTGGTGGTCTATAAAAAGAATGAATATAAAATCAATTATTAATAATATTGAAATTTATTTTAGATGTCGTAGATTCATGAAGAAAACTTATCTTCAGCCTTAGTGCAGCTGACACATCACCCCCATTAACTTATATTTATATAAAACAAAGAGGTAAAAAAGTCTAATTAACAAAATATCAAATTACCCACAACAGGAGGAAGAGGAAGAAGTTGAGGTTGTGCAAGTGACATCGAGGGGACTTCCACCGAAACCAAAGAAGCTGCAGCAGAAGCCGAGGGGAAGTTCCGGCAAGCCAGGAAGTATCAACAAGAAGCCTCGCTAGTTTTTACTTGAATTAAGTTTAATAATTTACAATTTCTTTTTAATCAGTGTAAGACTATGTGTTTTTAAGTGGTAATTCTTGAGGATTGTAAGTTCTCCGAGACCTTCTTATATCATATAACATAAATAAAAAGACAATGTGAATCATGTATGACAGATATTTGGTGATAAATTAAACTGTGAAACAAATAATTAACATGATCATATAAATCAACTACATCTATAATCTGTTAGGTTAATTTCCTTGATGAAGAGCAGGCTGAAAAGGGTTTTATCCTCACGTAGTCACGTGCATCGCACAACCCACCAGAGGAGACAAACCGATATTGACCGAGTCTGAGTCACACTCCCCTGCCATAATTGTCTATTTGCACCAATATCATCTCGATATCGGTTTAGCAGTGTCCGGTCCAACCAAAGAGATGTAACTAGTTCTTAATATACTGGCCCACTAAAAAAGCCTATAATTAAGAGAATAACATTGGGCTTCAATATTTATTTTCGCAACCCCGCGCCTTTTTTTAAAAATTTGTGGGGGAGAGAATAACAAAATAAAAAAAACCCTATTTCGTCTGCGTTGTTGCGTTGTTTCGAAGCGGAAACAGATAAAAAAAATTAGCGTTTCGTCCGGGGCATGACTATTGAGCAATGAAGAAAGGAGCGAAGAGAAAGGGAGCCTCAAAAGCAATTCGCAAAGGTGCTGTTGCAGAGATGAGAAGAAACCGGTTCCTAGAGCTAAGAAAGCTCGTGTGACTAAACCACAGGAAGAGCCTGAGTATTTCGAGGACGAGCGTAATCTGGTAAGATTCATCGATTTGATGATATCACTATTTGTAATTTGTGACTTGTAGTGTGTGTTTTGGTTAATTTTAAGCTGTGTTTCCGTTTACAGTAGGGCTTTGTTCATTTGTTGGTTAGTCTTCTCGTTTGACTTGTAGACTTTGAGTATAATTGTAGAGTTTTTAATGCCATATATGGTATGTCACTTAGAGCTTTAGTTACTGGAGGGAAAATTGTTAATGGAATGGTGTGGGAAGATTTCAGTATTGTAATTTCTAATAAAAGGGATTGTTTTCTGAGTTTTTTATGTTTGTGTTTGTTTTTTTTGTGTGTTTTATTTCAGGAGGTTTGTGGAAGGCTGCATTTCCTGTGGGGACGGAGGTATATTGTTTTGAGGATTTTGGCTTCTACATTGGAGCTGCTTGTTTCAGTTGATATTTTTTGCTTATGGTTGTTAATTTGTGGTGGCAGTGGGACCAGTTAGATGCACTTTATGAATTTAATTGGGATTTCAAACATCTTGAGGTAAGTTGATTGGTTCGATTGTTGTTGTTTACTGTTGCGTCCACAAGTTCTTGAGGGTTGAAGAGATTCTGATATTTATATTTCTTCATCTGTATGTCAGGAAGCTTTGGAGGAAGGTGGATTGCTCTTTGGGAAGAAAGTCTTTCTTTTCGGCTGTACAGAACGTAAGCAGCTGTTTCTGTTACCTATTTTCTTCTTGTTTTGAGTATTGATAGTTGGAGCTATATGTATTGCTTTTTATGCTACCTCTTTGTCTTTAATCCTGTTTACAACATAGTAAGCACTTGTGGTTTTTTCTTATCTCTGGAAAAATTCTATCAGACTGTGGAATATGTTCTCTATTTCATTAACATTTGCTTCTTGTTTTCTGTTGAATTTTCTCTTTCCATCGTTACAGCCCAGTTAGTCCCCTTCAAAGGCGCAAACAAGATTCTCCATGTCCCAGCAGTTGTTGCTGTAAGTTTTTGTTTAAACCCGCTATCAACGGTTACTTGTTGTCTTTGATATGGATTCAATATCAAATATCATTTCTCATAGTAAATTTCTCCATTCTATATTTGCAGGTTGTATCACCCTTTCCACCTTCTGATAAGATAGGAATCACGTCGGTTCAGAGGGAAGTGGAAGAAATCATTCCAATGAAGACGATGAAAATGGACTGGCTTCCTTACATTCCGCTTGAGAACAGGTACTTTAAACTTTGAGTACCACTTGCATCTGAACACATTTAGTGGGATGGCCTAGAACAATGAGAAGAAACGCATATTACGCCTCTTACTATTCTTGCTTTTGATTTGCTAATTACTTTCGATTTGTTCTTCCTGCAGAGGTAGGCAAGTTGATAGGATGAACTTTCAAATTTTTGTCTTGGGCTGTACGCGGAGAAGGTAAATAACATGTGTAAAGGGATTTAGAGTTACATTACACATGAAACTTAAGTTAGAACATGATTGAAATTACCATTTGTTAGCCTGATGATTGACGTTACATCATTTCTTCCCTCATTTCTGCCTAGTAATTTGTTGGTAGACTGCAGAATTTTATGTATGGGTCTTTGGCATTGCAAATCTGTATTTTCATACAGATAGTATTGTTTGTATCTACGAGCTATAACGTACTGAATTTTGCTTTCTATTATCTACAGAGCTGCTCTCAGACATATGAAGGAAGATCTCGTTAAAAAGTACGAGTATTGCCTTCCTTGTGAGTTTTATTCCTCATTACCAATATTAGTTAAAATTTGCAGAGAAAAAACCATATATAGTACATGGCAGGCTATAAGTTTTAATCCTGTTATGTACGTGGTAAGCGACAACAAAATCTCATATCTGTTTTTTTTTTTGCTTTGCAGATTTCTATCAGCCATTCAAAGAAGATGAGCTCGAACAGAGTACTGAGGTCCAGATAATGTTCCCCTCTGAACCGCCGGTAAGTCTTTTGGCATGTAATGAGTGTGTTTGAAGTGGCAGTCTTCATAAAACGGCTTGGTAGGGGCACATTCCTTTGAGTGATTTTTTTAATAGTCAACCTTTGATGTTCTGGTTGTGCAGGTTGTATGTGAATTTGACTGGGAGTTTGACGAACTTGAGGTGTTCCTTTTGGCTTTTCTGTAAACTTGAAAATTACTTCTTCATTTGTAACACGAGCGTTTTATCTTTGCACTGCTCCTTCCTTGTGTGTTCTGTTATTCATTGTATGGCTTTTTGTGCATGTATCACAGGAATTTGTCGATAAGCTGATCGAAGAGGAAGCCTTACCTGCAGAACAGAAGGATGAGTTCAAAGTGAGTGGAGCTGCATACCCCAGTAGTGTCAGTTCATGACGGTTGAGCATTTGTCTAAGTTCTTTTGATTTCTATTTTCTCAGGAATATGTCAAACCGCAAGTCCGAGCCGCAAAGAAAGCTAATCGAGAGGTAAACCGTAATTCAACCAAGATGAATGATATATCTGTTCGCTTACGGTGTTATATCATTGCAGGCCAAAGATGCTCGAAGGAAGGCAATAGAAGAAATGAGCGAAGATACTAAGCAAGCCTTTCAAAGCATGAAGTTCTACAAATTCTACCCTCTACCTTCAACAGACACACCAGACGTCTCTGGCGTCAAGGTAACCTGCCTTCTTCAAATAGTTTAATCCGGTTTTCAGTTAGTTATATAGCACAACCAGTAACTAGAAGAACATGACGTAATGAGTATGGTTTGGTTAAAATATGTATGTCTGGTTTGCTTGTTTTGCCCCTTTTTCCAGCTACTTGTCAAATATCGACAATAACATATATGTATTATTTTAGTGGACCTAATAAATAGTAGAAAGCATATAAATGTATATATGGACAAAGTAGAATAAGTTTGGCATCTTTCGTTTTATGAATAGAGAAAATGACATTCTAAAAATGACCAAGTGACTTGACTCAAGATTTTATGTCATCTTTATTCTAAACATTATTGAATTTTTCTCATTTGTGGAAATCATTTAACTGGGTTGGATCTAAAGTAAAAAGTGTTTTACTCAATAACTTTAAGAAAATCAAAACTTTAATAAAGGTCTAAAGGTCTTGTTACTAAATTGTTTATTTAAAAGATAGAAATGGTGTTTTTAAAATGAATAAAGGAAATAGTGGATGTGGAACTTGGCTTCGCAGGTCAAATGGTGTTTATGTAGTAAATCATTTGGTAATGTATGTGAGTAGACAAAAGAGTAACATGTTGGTACATAAGAATTGTATAATGACACACCACGTTCTTGTCTCACCGTCCCGTTTTCTAGAACGGTGTTGCACACTTGCAATCCCTCTGTCACGTATGGAGGTGCATGTGAAGGAAGGTGAGGTTGTGCGAAATTTTCTTAAGAAAAGTAAAAAGAGACAGACAGAGAAACTCAACGACATGCCATTGTCTTTTCCAGTCTGTTTCTATTTATCTGCAAACTAATCATTTTCTTTGCCGCTAATATTTAACGGTTTTTTTCTTCCTTCCCTCATACTTTTTTATTTCTACCATATTTTTAACAAAAAAATTTGGTTATACTTTTCTCCAGGAATTTTGAATCATCACAAGTATCGTCTCACTACATTAATCAATATGCAGTAGTAGTACAGTATCTTTCATAAACTATAAGTCATAACAAAGATTACCCATAGTCTTAAGTGATAACGACTTGACGAAATTAATGTAACATTTATTAGTTGTCAAGTCTACCAAATTTGGAAAACCAAGTCAAAGAAAGACTACTAATCTAGGCAAGAGTTAGTACACAAAATTAACTATGATTTTAGAAGAGATAAACGTGCAATCTAGTTGAAATTTAAATAGTGAAATAGAAATTGTAATTTTTTTAATCGAAACGAAATAAAATCAAATTTTAATTCGTAAAAATCTAATGAGAAAACTCATAAACTAATTTTAAAATATCTGAAACTTTAAATGGAAACTGGTAGATTATTATCGATTGATTGACAGATAAAAATGTAAAGTAATCCGTCTTTGCTATAATTGCGGTGGCGAGAAACACCAAACCATAAAAGAATAAAACTAAAATAATGTTTTAAAAATTCGTTTTTCTGGAAAACCTCTTCACTACTCTCTCTTCATACAAACACTGTCTCTCTCTCTCTCTCCAGATTCTAGGGTTTCTCAGTCTCTCTCTCAGATAATGAACCTTTAGATTCCTCGGGGGCTAAATGAGTCATTATCCAACTCTCGCTCTCACCACTCTCCTCCTCTTCCTCTTCCTCCACACCGCCAACGCCGTAACCAACAATGAACTCCAATCCCTCCTCGAGTTCCGCAAAGGCATCCACGACCAAACCTCCAACAACCGAATCTCCTGGTCCGCACCAAACACCCTCTCCGATCCCACCACTTGCCTCCCCAACTGGCACGGCATCACCTGCGACCCGGAAACCGGTTCAATCATCTCAATAAATCTAAACCGGCTCGGTCTATCCGGCGAATTAAAATTCCACACGCTCACCCCTCTCCTCTCCCTCCGTAACCTAACCCTATCCGGAAACAACTTCTCGGGTCGGGTCGTCCCCACTCTAGGTCTAATCACCTCCCTCCAGCACCTGGATCTCTCCGATAACGGATTCTACGGACCCATCCCGGATCGGATCTCGAATCTCTGGGGCCTAAACTACCTCAACCTCTCCGCCAACAAATTCGCCGGCGGGTTCCCCGGCGGGTTCCGCAACCTCCAGCAGCTCCGATCTCTCGATCTACACGGGAACCAAGTCTACGGAGACGTCGCCGAGATTTTCACCGAGCTTAAGAACGTTGACTTCGTTGACTTGAGCTCTAACCGCTTCCACGGGGGCTTCTCCTTATCAAACGATTCGAGCATCTCCAACACTCTCCGTCACTTGAATCTGAGCCACAATGTATTAAACGGAGGATTCTTCACGAACGATTCGATTGATTTGTTCAAGAATCTCGAGGTTCTTGATATTGAAAACAACATGATCAACGGCGAGTTGCCGAGGTTCGGATCGCAGCCTAATTTGAAGATCTTGAAGCTCGCGCGTAATCAGTTATTCGGGAAAGTTCCTCAAGAGTTGCTTCAGAGTTCGATGATTCCGTTGCGTGAGTTAGATCTCAGTAGAAATGGATTCACAGGTTTATATTTGGAACTTGAGCTATGATTACTAAACATTTTTGCGTTTTAATTAAATGGTTTTTTTTTTTTAATGTAAGTGTAGGATCAATTGGTGAAATCAATTCAACGAGTTTAACTTTATTGAATCTTTCTTCTAACGGCTTGTCTGGTGAGCTTCCATCGAGTTTGAGGAGCTGTTTAGTGATAGATCTTAGTGGGAACATGTTCTCAGGAGATGTTTCCGTTGTTGGAAAATGGGAAGCTACTCCGGACTTTCTTGATTTGAGCTCGAATAGTTTGTCTGGAGCTTTGCCTAACTTCACTTCCGCGTTTTCGAGATTGAGTGTGTTGAATATTAGGAATAACTCTGTCTCTGGTAGCTTGCCTTCTCTGTGGGATGATGATTCAGGAGCTTCTCAGTTTACTATGATTGATTTGAGCGCGAATAAGTTCAGTGGTTCGATTCCGCAAACGTTTTTTACTTTTGGGAGTTTGAGAAGTTTGAATCTTTCTATGAATAAGTTAGAAGGGGAGATTCCTTTTGATGGTTCAGGAGCAAGTGAGCTTTTGGATTTAAGTACTTATTCTCAGATTGAGTTGCTTGATCTCTCGACGAACTCTTTGACAGGTATGTTGCCTGGGGAGATAGGTACGATGGAAAAAATTAAAGTGCTGAATCTTGCGAATAATAAGCTGTCTGGGGAAGTTCCAAGTGAGCTCAACAAGCTTAGTGGTCTTGAGTATCTTGACTTGTCAAACAATGGTTTTAACGGTCAGCTTCCGGACAAGCTTCCTTCACAAATGGTGAGGTTTAATGTGTCTTATAATGACTTGTCAGGGATAGTGCCAGAAGGTTTGAGAAGCTACCCACGTTCATCGTTTTATCCTGGTAACTCTAAGCTGATTCTCCCAGGTGGGAGTCCAACGGATTCTAACAGTGGAGAGGGTATACATGTGAAAGAACGTCACTCGAAGCGTAGCGTAATGATTGCAGTTATTGTTGCTTCGCTTGGAGCTGCTCTTATGGTTCTTTTTGTCTTGTTTGCTTATCATCGAACACAGCTCAAGAACTTTCATGGGAGGAGTGGGTTTATTGACCAGGAGACGACTAGGGACGCTAAGTTTGGACGCTCTTCTCGTCCTTCCTTTCTCAATTTCAGCTCAAATGCTGAACAACAGTCTTCATCTTTGAGCTTCTCAAACACTCACTTGCTCACCGCGAATTCAAGGTCCTTATCTGGGATACCTGAACCCGAAGCTGAAATATGTGAGCAGGGTTTACCAGCTACATCTGGACGTAGGTCTTCTTCAGGAGGCTCTCCATTATCCTCCTCACCCCGTTTTAGTGACCAGCCTGTGATGTTAGATGTTTACTCACCTGATAGGTTGGCTGGTGAGCTCTTCTTTTTAGATGTTTCATTAAAACTAACAGCAGAAGAGTTATCTCGAGCTCCTGCGGAAGTTCTAGGTAGAAGCAGCCATGGAACGCTATACAAAGCAACACTGGACGATGGGCATATGTTAACTGTGAAATGGTTGAGAGTTGGACTCGTGAGGCATAAGAAAGATTTTGCAAAGGAAGCTAAAAAAATCGGCTCTTTAAAACATCCAAACATTGTCCCGTTGCGAGCTTACTATTGGGGTCCTAGAGAACAAGAGAGGCTTCTCCTTTCTGATTACATCGGAGGAGAAAGCTTGGCCATGCATCTATACGGTGAGCAGCTCTTATATTTAGTCTCTTTTACTCTTACTACACATTATTGTAAGATCTTGTTTGAGCTAAAGTTAATCTCCTTTCTCTACAGAGACTACTCCTCGGAGGTATTCACCGATGTCTTTCACACAAAGACTAAAAGTTGCAGTTGAAGTGGCGCAGTGTCTACTTTACCTTCATGATAGAGCAATGCCACATGGGAACTTAAAGCCAACAAACATTATCCTCACAAGTCCCAACAACACCGTGCGGATAACAGATTACTGCATTCACCGTCTGATGAGTTCATCTGGTGTAGCGGAACAGATACTAAACTTGAGTGCACTCGGCTACTCTGCTCCTGAACTTGCCTTATCTTCCAAACCCGTTCCAACGCTCAAATCCGATGTCTATGCGTTTGGAGTGATTCTTATGGAGCTTTTGACTAGACGTAGTGCTGGTGACATAATCTCTGGCCAATCAGGAGCCGTTGATCTAACAGATTGGGTGAGGTTGTGTGATCAAGAAGGTAGGAGAATGGATTGCATAGACAGAGACATTGCAGGTGGGGAAGAGTTCTCAAAGGCAATGGATGATGCACTTGCCGTTGCAATCATGTGCATTGTCTCTGTAAATGAAAGGCCTAACATCAGACATGTTCTTGATCAGCTTAGCTCAATTTCAGCTTGAGATTTGTTTTTTTCTTTCTCTCTCTGTATATCTCAGTGGATATCTATTCATCCATCATCCTATTTTTTCTTCTTCTTTCTGGTTTTATGTTTTTTTTTTTCTAGTAGTTTGATCAGATGATTCAAATCCTCAGGTGTTCTTACTTTTGTATTTTGTTGATTATTTTTCCCTTCCTTGTAAAGGTAGAAGAAAAACTAATCCCATTTTTTTGCTGACACAAAACATTTGAGTTTGGTTATTGATTTTTTCAATATTTCTTTTCATCTTATGGACTATAATTTGTTTAAGCACTTTAGCCACATCAAACAACCAGTCTTCTGTTCTGTCCAAAATCCACTCACCTTTAAACTCTATTCTTGATTCTTAATAGTCATCTGGTAAGGCTATCGTCACTCTGATTCAAACATAAATTAAATAGTACATTCATAATGCATACAAGTGAATGTTCAGTAAAACACCGTCAAACTTGAGGTTTTCTTACTAAGAAAATGTTCTTCATATGGGCTTGTTTGGGTTAAAGTGATTTTCTTATTGGGCTTGAAGTAAAGCTAAAAGTGAGTTATTACAAGGCAATAATTAGTAAGCTAATGCGCTTAACAATATAATGTTTACGTCAATATTCAAAATAAATATTGATGTTCATCTCTATCTATAAATCAGAAAAGAATTCTGAAGAAAAAAAAAAACTAAAAGTTCAACAATGCACAAAAGAGGTAATCAACTTTTTTCACATGTATCCCCCAAAATAAGAAAACATCGTACACATAAATACTCTGACAAGACAAGAATTAATCGTGACTACAACTACATGTACCTTCCACAATAAATACATATATCTTATTATCTGAAATCAGAAAAGAACGGCCTAACAAACTATAAAAGTATTTCTCAAAAAAGAAACAACAACTATAAGGCACGTAAAGGATAGGTAATGAGACGTATTTCACGTGTATATACCAAACTAGAGAATTTTATACGTTACCTAAATATTCTGACAAGAAATAATCGTCTACAATTACACACCCACACTCCACAATTTTTAAAACCAGCCAATAAAATCCAAAAATATTATTATATATATAAAAAAAATCAAAACTTGTCTGATCTGAAATTAATCAATTATCGCGAGAAGGCGCTAAAAATGGATAACGGCGATGACGAGAGTCCGGTGGTTCTGATAACGGGGTGCTCGCAAGGAGGAATCGGTCACGCGCTGGCACGTGAGTTCTCCGAGAAAGGATGTCGAGTTGTGGCGACTAGCCGTTCACGGAGCACGATGACGGATCTGGAGCAGGATCCGAGGCTGTTCGTGCAGGAGCTCGATGTTCAATCTGATCAGAGTGTGAGCAGAGTCATGTCGAGTGTTATTGATAAGTTCGGACAAATCGATGTTCTTGTCAACAACGCAGGTGTTCAATGCGTCGGACCTTTGGCGGAGATTCCAATCTCCGCCGTGGAGAATACATTCAACACTAATGTTTTTGGTAATGATAATAATTAAAGATTGTTTTTTTTAGTGTAAAAAAAAAAAAAGATTGGATTTTGAGATTTGAATTGGTTACCCAATGAGAGTTATTAGTGAGTTTAAGTGATTAACTTGGCTTTTAGTGTGTCTTCTTGTGTTGATTTTTTTTAGTGTTAAAGAACAAAAGATTAGATTTTTCAAAAGCAAAAAAAAAAAAAAAGATTGGATTTTGAGATTTGATTTGGTTATCCAATGAGAGTTATTAGTGAGTTTAAGTGATTAACTTGGCTTAGTGTGTCTTCTTGTGTTGATTTTTTTTAGTGTTAAAAAAAAAGAAGCAACAAAATAGATTGGATTTTGAGATTTGATTTGGTTACCCAATGAGAGTTTTAGACTTTGGTCATGTTGTGGGTTTCTCTTTTAGTGATTTGAGTTTGGCTTAGTGTCTCTCCTTGTGTGTTAGTAAGTTAGGAGAAAACGTTTAAAGAGTTTGAACTTTATGGCAATGTAGGTTCCATGAGGATGACACAAGCAGTTGTACCTCACATGGTGTCTAAGAAAAAGGGTAAGATTGTTAATGTTGGAAGTATCACTGTTATGGCACCAGGTCCATGGGCAGGTGTCTATACAGCAACCAAAGCAGCTATTCATGCTCTTACTGATACCCTCAGGTTCTTGTTTTTAGCGTTTATGATCAGTATTTATGTTCATTAGTAGTGTAGTGTGTAATGGTTACTGTTAATTTCAGGTTGGAGCTAGGACCATTTGGCATTGATGTAATTAATGTAGTCCCAGGAGGAATACGAACGAACATAGCAAACTCAGCTGTAGCAACTTTCAACAAAATGCCTGAGCTGAAACTATTCAAGCCTTACGAAGAAGCTATTAGAGAGAGGGCCTTTATATCACAGAGGATGAAGCCAACTCCTGCTGAAACATTCGCTAAAGACACTGTAGCTGTTGTGCTGAAGAAGAACCCACCTGCTTGGTTCTCTTCAGGGAGATACTCAACTCTCATGGCAATCATGTACCATATGCCTCTTTGGTTCAAAGATTTTCTCCAGAAGAAGGTTTTAATGAAAAAGGACTAATCAGATTCTGGTTTTAAAAGACTCTTCTTTCTTATGACTACGAATGTAAAAGATTGTTCAGATTGATAAGTGTATTCTTATGTCTTCATGATTGAGTGGTTTCGATTCTTAATACACATATCAGTAGGAAAATAGTGGGAGACTTAACGGCAAGAACTATTACATTGTAGTAAAAGCTTGTAATACAGAGATATCCACTGACTCCGACCCAACAAATGTAACATCAAACCACATTTTCAGCACTCAGCACAGATGTAAAAGGGTCAGAACTATCTAAAAAGCTATAACACTAACATCATTTCTAATTTTAAGAGTGGTGTTGAGCTCCATAATACATTATTCCTGACGGCTGGAAAGTACCTTGTTGAGGCTGTTGTTGAGATGAGTTGGTCTGAGTCTGTTGATTACCTATCATATGTGGTGGTGGAGGAGGCGGCGGAAGTCCAGGTGGCATTAACGGGATGTTACCAAACCCATAAGGATTGTTCATTACCGGCGGATTCAGGAACTGTGGTTGTGGTGGTGCTGGTTGATTAGGGATCACATGGTACTGACCTTGTGTGGCGGGTGTCTGGTTCTGTGAGTTGTTGTAAGAAGGGACAAACGCGTTACTGTCTGAAACCGGAACTGTGCTCTCTGTTTTGGTTAGACCAGAAGACTTTGTTGCTTCAGCTGCGAATGAAGAGAGAACAGATTGCATGATCATATGTGATGAGGTGGAAGCTGTAAGCATCGCAGCTATAGATGCAGGCGTCATTTTTGATGCTTGGCCATTGTTGTCTGTTGTCGTGGTAGCAGAGACTGATCCTGGAGCGACGGTTGTTGGTTTCGGTACATAGTCTTCATCCTTGAGCCGTTTCTGCATGTTTTGAGCTTCTTCTGTTTGTTCTTGTGCTACCTGACAACAACAAAAATGGTTCATGAGCTTAGGTGGGTCACAAATGCAGTGGGAATTCAAAAAACACATACCTGAATCTGAGCTTCAAGATTCTCCAGTTCAGATTCCTGACACAAGCAAGCCAAAAACAATGAAAGATAGATCACAGTATAGTGAACTTGCTAAAGTGTGCAAAAATCAATATTACCTGTTCACGTAGTGCGTCTTTAAGCTGGTTTACAAGGGAAGTCCTACTCCCTTGAACAGATTTAAGCTTCTCAATACATTGTCTCAAAAGATATTCTTCCTCTTCCAATTCTTTAGCCAGTGATTCTCTCTTCGGGTTGTCTTTTGCTGGTGAGACATAACTAAACATATGAATCCACTGTTTTTTAAAGAGACAAGAGTGGATTAGTTAAAAAAGCAGATTGTTACCAGTAGAACATGCTTCTTCAACATCTTTCTCCATCTTCCTGATTCGTTTAACAGCAGACTTGCATTTACTCATCTCAGCTTCTTCATTCGAGTTTTCCGCAACAACCAAATGATACGCTGATGCTATCTTCTCAGCCACACGTCCTCCACTTGATAGTTTCTGCTTATGAAACCAAAACAAAAACACAGTGAGATTTGACTGATGTTTAGTGTTTGAATCATGGTGATTAGTGTTTTTCTACCGTTCTGGAAGATTTTGACTCCCTGTCCCGTTTAGAGGATTTGGATCCACGAGACCTCTTTTTGCTGCTAACATCAAGTGGCAAAGGACAATCTTCTCCAAGCATCACATCTCTAAGATTCTTCGAACGTGACCCAAACACTCTTCTTTCTTCCCATATCTTCACCTACAATATCATACAAACAGAACTTCTTTATTCATGTTTCACACTTCACAAATATTCAACGGTTAGCATCACACACATATGCAAATACCAACACAGAAAAAAACCCTTAAGAACCTAATAATAAACTCATCCTCAAATCAACCATTAAGGTCTCTCACAGAACATACTTAATAAAACCAACTTGAATCAAAGAGCCTAAACGTTGACTCAAACTATTCACACTAACATGCTATTTCTCAAAACACAAGTGTAGAGAGAGTCTTACCAAACGTGAGACAACGCCTTTGCCATGATCATCACCCTGAGAAACAATATCTTTAACAGCTTTGGGCAAAACATTCCAAAACTCTTGCACGAACTCATTACCCTGACGCTTACTGTTCTGAAGAATATCATTAGCCAAATACAAAAGAGGCACTTTCTGAGACATCTCCGTACTGTGAAACTGTTTCTCCCATGTCGTCACTATCAACTCAGCTTTCACCCGATTGAATATACACCAATGCGATAAAGCTTCAAAGAAAATCAAAAATCATAAGATCTAACCAAAAAAGGTTTAGACTTTATATGCAAATTAAACAAAAAGATTAAATCTTTTAATGATTGAGAGAGTAAAAAAGGATACTTTCGATGGACTGTTGAGTGCTGTTGAGCTTGGCGAGCTTATCGATAAGGATCTCTTCACTGAATACAGTACTCATCTCACCGAACGATGGATTTGGATAGAGCTCGTGAGCTGGATGAGAGAAGAACGCGGCGGAGCTGGGAAAGATTGTGCGGTGGAGTGAGGACGGAGAAACCCTAGAACAGTGTGAAAATGGTGGAAGCAGATTAGGAATGACTAAAACGACAACGTAGTGGATCGAAGAAGAGAGGCATCTTGTGGAGTTTTTTTTTTCTTTTTTGTCGGATGAAAGATGGGATTTTTATTTTGTTTGACCTAAAGAAGTATTGTTTCATTTATAAAATTATCTACGATATTAAAACCGAAGTCCTAATGTGATTTTTCAAGTTGGACCATTCTTAAAAAAGATTATTATATTTTTTATATCCTTTATTTTTATTTGAAATACAAAAAAGTTATAAAAATTCAAACACTATATTTTTCGAATTAGTTAATAAAAATTTTAATTTCGAATTATATAAAACAATTTTAACATTATTCTAAAATTTGCTTCTTTATAATGTTAATACAACTTAATTTAACTTTCACATATATTTCAAATTTAGAAATAAAATTATTATCACTGTTACATAATAATGTTTTTAAAAAATAAAAAATTTAAAAATAATAATATTATAAATTACGTAAACATTATTATAAATTTAGATAATATATAATATCAAATTATATTTTTATATTGACAAATTTTACTGTATAACATAAAATATTTTAATATTCAAAAATCCCGCACAACTCTAATATAAATTTAAGACGGAAGAGATTATATATATATATATATATATATTTATTAATAAATACTTTAAAAAAAAAATACTTCATTAGTTTCAAAATAAACTAAGGTATGCTATACAATTATAAGTATATTTTTTTTTGGTAATTAACTATTTTCACAATTCTTATCCAATCAGATTTTAATAAACTAATTAGTTTTCTGAATTTATAATTTTTATTATTAACTAATAAAAATACATTAAATCTATTTAAAAAACATTTTTTTTAAAGTAGTATAACCCCACTAGATATCCAAGCCAAGCCATATCAATTCTATTATCATTTTCATCTCCATGTTCATGTCGGCTAAAGTTTGAAGAAATATGCTAGACCACAAACTAGCAAATGCAAAATAGAGAAAACAGGTACATATACTAATAATCATGTGTGAGTAGATATATTTAAGTCAACGTTTAAAACTCTTTTGTTCTATATTGTTACTTAACACAACTCGAACTATTTGTATTTACAAGCTTGGGTAGACGATCTATTTACCCATGAGAACTATCATATAGCATTAGATCCCCACCGAACTATGACCTCATGCTAGATCTCCACGAATTGAAAATTGCAAACCTATTTCTCCCCGAATTAAAAATTGCAAACTTATTTCTCCCCGAATCAATACTTCAAAACTTAATTACCCACAGACGATGGTTTTAATTGGTTTATTCTTAACCAAACATCTTAAAATCAAGTAAACCAAACCAAAATCCAA